ACTTATGGTATAAAATATGACTTAAGAGGTGCTTTTACATATATAATATGAAATATAGCACGGATGCAAGTCAGTGTTCTGTGTGGGTGGTTGGTTGATGGGCGTTTGTCTGGGGGGAAAAAGGATTTCTGAATATTTCCTTGTGTATGGCGTCTGGCCTTGTTTTGCATATATAAATGTACTGCTGGTCGAACTAGCTGGAGAAAATACAAAAGAATCTGTGTGCTTGCTTCCTGTTATATCTCAACACCAAAAACATCCAGGACAGATCAACTTCAGTGAACTGTGCTATTTATTTATTTATTTATTTATTTATTTTCCAGTGCATGATTTCACTGGCAATGCTGAAAAAAGTATGCCATGTTAAAAGAAGACCAAGTTTTAGTAATAATATCTTACTGGAAATACAAGAACAACAATTGGACAACTGAGTTAAAGCCAGTATTTTTGTTCTCCAGTTGATCATGCATTATATATTATATTATGTTGTATTAGTTAGTTTTGGCTCCTAAATGGAAAGGAGTCATTTAATTCTGTTTACTAAAGATTCAATTCAGCTTGCCTATTTTGTGGGAGTCAAAGGTTCCACTGGTGGCAACTCATCACATGAAATAAGAAATCCAAGATTTAGCTCTGATTAATTATACACTGCAAACAATACAAATGGCATAATAGGGCCAGTTAAAATAAATACTTTGTTCTATTCTGAATTGGTGTCTGTTTAGCTTTTATTAATTTAAAGCCACTATATTGATTTAAACCCACTGTAACCACTGTATTACTCCCACCCCATGTTTTCCATCCTGTAGCCCCTGTTAAACCTCACCACTGAGGACAAAAACCACCCCCCACTACTTCTACCTCTCCACAACTTCCTTGTCTTAGTCTTCTCAGTTGACCAGGTCAGAGTTGGAAGAATCCACAGGAACTGCACCAGCCAAGCCTGTGGGGTGAAGATCATGAAACCCTTTGAGAGACTGGTCCTTAAATAGTGTTAAACCTTAAGTTCAACCACAAGACACACAAAGGTGTGGATGATGTGCTACGCTATGCTCCAAAGAGCTCATTTAGACATGAACAACACTGGAGCTACAGACAGGAGCTTATTCTTCTATACAACTTCTATACAATCCTGTCTCTATGACTGGGAAACAAACTCAATGTAATGTAGACTGATTCCCCCATGGTCTTCTGTTTCATGACTATTTGATCCCCAGGCCACTGAGCCACCAGAACTGTGTCAGAGACAACACCAGCGACTTCAACAGAAATACGTTTTTGGTGGGTCTGTGAAAAAGTGGTGAGGTAGATAAACAGGTTTTTGAGGGCTGAGAAAATAGGACGGTACTTGGGATTGGTCAACTGGACTACTTCACATGTTCAGAAAGGAGGTGGAGAGCATAATGGTTTTGATTAGCCATACTACAATGACAGTACTCACTTTCATTCTCTTAAAAAAAGCAGTTACAAGTATTCATTCTCCATTTAAATGGGTTTTCCCCTGTCAGTTTCACCTGGGTATCTGCCTCATGAGCTTACATGTACCCTACTCTACCCCTCTGCTGACCTGGCTTGCATGGTGATTAATTTTGGGCTGAGGGCGGCTTCTCTTTTTAAGTGTATGAGGACAATCAGAAAATCTCCATGTAAGTTCCTTTACTTAAAAGGATCTGAATCTGCAAAAATAAGGAAACCTCAATGTGAAGTGAGTGGTGCACAATATGGCCTCTTTTTGGCATGTAAAAAAATGAAAATGATTTTTTTTTTTTAGGCAAATGTTACATCATTGATTTGAGTGCTGATATTATGCATGTGGTGACTATTATCAATTATTTTTAGCATCTTTGCTCAAATTTAGTTTGAAGAAAAAGTGACTTCTGTAATATTCTTTTATCAGGATTGTAAACATTGTAATTAAGACTTATGACTCTTATTAGTCCCACAATGGGGAAATTTCACCTTCCCACCCGTACAGTAAAACACCACATACACACAAGTGAACATACACTAGGGGGCAGTGAGTGCACTTGCCTGGAGTGGCGAGCAACCTTATCCGCAGCGCCCGGGGAGCAGTTGGGGGTTAGGTGCCTTGATCAAGGGCACTTTAGTCATGTACTGTCGGCTCAGTGGATCAAACCAGCAACCATTCGGTCACAAGGCTGGCTCCTTAACCTCCAGCCCACAACTGCCCCATGACTGATATGGCATGTTTATTCACTTAAACACCTCCAACACGCAAAAAGGCAGTGCATTACAAAATCTTATTTTCTCTAGGAAATAAACAAGAAAGAAACAACTACACCTTCTTTATGTATACAGCAAAATTCGCATCGTATGGCCTTATCTATATTTACCTTATTGAAAAGGTGGCCTGTGCCATATAGACATGCAGGGCTTAAAACAGTTCAGTGTAAAAAGTAATGCAAAAACAAAAACTGACTTGACTTTGCATTAGAGCATACTTACAGCTAAGTACTTTTTCCATTCCATCATTGTTGTTAAGGAATTTAAGGAAGAGAACCCAGAGAACCCACCTTATACAAGCAAGTTGTGCAGCTCCCTCTAGTGGATGCTAAAGAATTAACCAATATTTATCTCCCTTTAGTGGACAATTCAACATCCAACTATCAACCAGCCAAACATACCATCCTCCTCTACTGCAGAATCACACATTTCAGTTGGAAATGGTCAGCAGAACTGTGCTCTGGACTATTTGTTCTGTTGAATTTCCCTTTGTTGTGTTACTCGTTTTCACACATACGTTATTTCCGGCTTTTATTAAAACAGTATAATCAGCTTCATCAATTCTACAACAAATTAAACATTTAAAGTGTTTAATTTATATGACACATTTACATGTGATGCAGAATCAGCACAAGCAAGCCTATCTGTTTACTGCCCAGTGGGCCATTTGTGAGGAAACATTATATAGGTGTTATATAGGTGTTTTTTTATATATATTTTAGCTAAATTTAAAGTTGTTTTTATGTCATTCAGTTACCTTTGCAGGTCCACTATCTATGGCTGCTGGTAGAATATAGGAAATCTCCTGTATGTCAACATCTCATGTATAAATGAATACTCAAGGATTTTGAGCATAATTTTATTTATTTATTTATCTATTAGTATATAAATCAAAAATAAAGCTGAACAACAAAAAAATATATTAGATTACTGTAGCACAATTATAACATCTCTCCACATGAGAAACTAAAGCAAAACATGAACACATAAATATAGGCTAAAATATATGGAGAATAGTTAAATAAAAATAGATAGATTAATTTATATAGTAAAGTAATGTCATGTGTCATGTTACACAATCTGTATTCATTTTCTTACACTTTCCATTTCTGTTTTCAAATCATTTCTATTGCAAATTCTTAAGATAAAATCTTCTGTGAAGATGGGGTAAAACTATTTTGAGTGGTCCTTCATAGAAAATGAATAAGGTCTTAACAGATTATCAGTTACACATCAACAACATATCAGTGAAGTAGCAGTAGTATTTGAATTCACTGATGTATTCTTGTAGATGTGCATTGATACTTACATTAAGTAGGTCTACTGTTGATATGTTACATGATGTAGACTTAATATGGTACTTCCATTAACAAAACCTAAAACCTAACGCTACCCAAACATAAACAAAACCTATCCCTCACCTTCACCCTGGCCCTAACTAACCTCAACCCAAAACCTAATCCTGACCCTCACTTTGGCCCCAATCCTAACCCTAACCTTAACCAAACCCTAATCCAGTGGAGCTCCAGGTACAGGATGTTGTCAGTGTGTCTACAACAGCTTGTTGAGGATGTTGATGGTCTGTATTAAACCTGTTACATGTTCAGTTCCTCTCAGTTAAACATCTACAGGTATGAACTTGGACTCCAAATAAAGTATAAACCAGTTGAATTCAGCAGATTATAAATAAATGTTATTCACACTGCAAATGTATTCACTGCTGCTACATCATTTATATGTTATGTTACTGAGAGTCTGTTGAGTCTGTTGACCACTCAAAATAGTGTCACCAAAGATGGTGCTTCAAGGGTTCTTTAGTAAAGAAAATGGTTCTATATAGAACCATGAACAGTAAAAGAAAACGTGGCATGATTAAAGGGTTATTTGCATCATGAAAGTGTCCTTCAGATTGATAGAGAATGTGCATGAATGTGCTATAGATCATTCTATGTAGAACCTTTTTGAAAAGGGTTCTATATAGCACCCAAAAGGGTTCTCGATTGTTGCAGCCTTGAAACTGTTAACAACGGAAGAACACATTTGGGTGCTATGTAGAACCGTTTTCAAAAAGGCTCTATATAGAACTGTCTACAGCACATTCTACTTCGGTCTGAAGAACCCTTTCATGAAGCAAATAACCCTTTAATCATGCAAAGGCTTTTTGATTGTTCATGGTTCCATTTAGAAACATTTTCTTTACTAAAGAACCACAGAAACAACGTCTTTTTAAGAGGGTAAAAGTAGTTTAAACTGAGTTTTTAAATAACCATTCAATTAGATGTTTTTAGGTATCAAAGGTGGTTCATCTGTGGTACTTTGTTCAATTTTTGCCACCTTTATTTTAAAGAGGGTTGATGTCCGATATAAAACTGTGGACTGGAACCCATAGACTGTTATATAAAATGATAATGTAGGATTACACCAGCTCACATCAGCCGTTTATGAATAAACTTGTGAAAAACCACAGCAGCAGCAGAGAAGTAAACATAGATAACATCCTAAAGGATGGTGAAAGTATGTTAATGAAACACAAGATGTTATACATACTATATCGTTTTTTCAGTTCTTATCATCACTTGAAAGTGTCTGTTTTCCTTTACACTGTGTGTAAGTTTCATGATGAACAGACCAAAAGAAACAGCCCAAAATTATTTGGAAAAATGTCTGGTTCCATTGACTTACATTAAAAGTAGAGTATGTTTTTCCTTCTCCTGCAAAGTTACCATTTTGGAGGTACAAGGTTTTCTTCTGACAACAGCGATATATATTAATATATATATATAAAGCAATGATTTTTTTTTTTTTCAAATAAAGCAGATTATGTTTAGATAATGTATAATAATGTAATCACTAAAACACTTTCCCTAATCCCAAACTCAGTTCACCATACAATGTGCCCTCACACCCAAGACTAAATATCCAAGGCTCTACAGTGTAAACAAAATAAACAAAATCTCAAACCATTAACCCTCAAATAAGCATCCAAATCGCCTAGGAATCTAGGATGTTGATATCGGGGTATCCACATTTTCTCTTGTGCATGGTTTGAAAGCAGCACGCAGATCTCGCCACCGCTTTATATAAAACTGCCTCACCTGGAAATAGAAGCAGAATGAGAAGTGAGTCTGAAGATGAAGTTCATTTCCATCTTGAAAGGTCAATGTTGTTGAGGGAAACACATGAAGGCTTAATGTTCTAGAGATCAACGTACAGGGGTGAGTTCAAGTAAAGGGGGACATCAGGTAAAGTCACACCCTCTGTTAATCATAACGTGTTCCATTCATCTTTCAAGCCACTTGAGGTTCTTATTAAAGTTTTCTTGAAAATATTGTTTATAATAACCATGTTAAATAGTTTGGATTGTGCACTATATCCTCCTACAGATATTCTCCAGATATTCAAATTGATAAACTATCTGCTGACATTCTAAGTCCTAGCGTTAGGTTAAACAATTACACAGATTTTTCTAAATTTCTCCAGAATTCAGTGGTTAAGGTAATAAACACAGTAATTCAGAGTGAATTAAAGTGATATTTTATATTAAGTGTCTCTATTAACTGTGTAGTTACATGTGAACAACATATGCAACAACAATGTAACTAGTAATGATTTAGTCACTGTTACAGATGGATTACAGTAGTAAAGCTTATGTAATTATACATGTATATCAGCTTCAGTTTTGCCTCATGTAATTACACATGCGTACCTTAATAGTTGTAACAGCCTATTCTCTCATGTAATTACACAACAGTAATAACATAAATGTAATTATATTTGTAATCAGACTGGAACAGCATTTTTTTCCAGCAGTAAAAGGAAGTTTGTAATAACTTACATTAAGGCATTACTTACACTGTATCTGCCAGCTTTCCTAACATTTAGCTAGCGTTTATGTTGGTAGTGCTGTGACACTGTAACCAGTTTCAGCTTTAAACCATTCTGTAATGTGACGGTACAGCAGACGACCTCTTATCTTATCATATAACTTTTATAACGTTAATTAAATGTGTTGCATTTCCCCCAAAGCAATGTCTATATTACCACTCCATTATTAAACAGTACCTACATAACAACTACACAGGAACTGTCCACTTATTTTAAAGTGTAACTTTAACATTGCACTACAGGAAAGTTCCTGTGTAGGAGATATGGGGCAAAACTGAAGTTGATACACATGTGTAATTACATAGGCTGTACGTCTTTAATCCATCTGTAACATTGCCTAAATTGTCAGTAGTTACAGTGTTGTTACATATGGCATTCATTGTAACTACACAGTTATTAGAGACACAATCTGAAGTGGGACCAAGATTTTCTTTACAGTGGTGTTGATAGGAATCAGACGTCCTAATATCTAAAATAGGATCCATATAGCCATTGCTAATGTCCAAAATCACCAGTGAACCTACACATGTCTTCTGAGTTTTTATATGTATTGTTGATGATGGTAGAATAATGGTCAATCTGAAAGCAAAAGAAAAAAAAACAACCTTTTTTTTGCCTTGGAACACCCTTCATGTTTACCCCCCACCCCCATCATGAATGGATTACACTTTGTTATAACTCCCATAAAGGAATGCATCAGGCAGCGTGTTCATAACCACTTCATGCTATAACTTTCTCTGAGGGTGCTTCTAGAGGCGGATGTCTGGTTCCTATCACCACCATTGTGAAGAACTCTTCTCTAGAACAAAGCATTTTACACCAAACCGCTCTGAATGATTTTGCAGATGTGTTTACAATTTCAGTCAGAAATCAGTCAGAAATTATGAAAAGTCAAAAGAGTTCCCCTTTAATGATCAGGTTAAGTGTTATGTTTATGGTTTGGGTTGAGGTTAAGGTTAGGGTTTGGGTTAGGCACAGAGTTATGGTTAGGGATGAGCAAAATTTAAGAGACATTTGATTGAACGTAATCTAAAGGTAGTTTTGCATCTACCAATCATCTTAAGCATACTATTCAAATAAAATGTAATGAGTTAATCTATTAAGGGTCATCCAATCTCAGATTGTTGGTTGGCTTCATCAGGTCTTTCTAAAGACAGCTGTAAACATTGTAATTGTGGCATTTGAGGCAGAATGTTTGGTCAGTGTGTACTACCAACATTACAACTTTTGTGTTTGTTGGGGAATGGTGGGTCAGTGAAATTAGCCCTAAGGTAGAGCAGGTGATGACTGACCTCTTGGTTGAGGGCACAGTGGATGAGGAAGATGAAGGTGCCCTGCTGGGAGTTGAAGAACAGGAAGAGCATATCCAACACCTTATTGTAGTTTGGGAAGAAACCCAGAATCCAGGAGCAGCCAACAATGTAAAACTGGACCATGGTTTTCAGGATCACACTTTTAAAGAGTCGCTGGTCACTTTTCGCCTGTCTGATTCTCAAGAGTTCACTTTTCATACTTTTCAGAGTGGAGATTACGATGAATAAGATGACGAAGAAGAGAATCATGTTTGCCTGAGATAGAGAAATAGATTTATTAATTAAAATAACACCAACAATATCACACATACTAGCTCACATATCTGGTGGGGTGCAGGATAAGCCTGCTATTTCTCAGATGCACTTAGTTCTAGAAAGCGATAAATGTGACTCTGTATCTTATACATCACTCTGGCTTTCAGGAGACATAATGAACATTATTAATGTCATTTTCTTATTTCTTTGTGTTACACAATGACAAAATAAACAGATGACTAGAAAAAAAAAGAACAGCACTTAAACAACTTAACATCTAACATACATTTATTGCTTGTGTATGTTCTTCTATTATAGAGATATGTGTAGAACATTATCAAAATAAACCAGATAATTATCAAGCTGTTTTTAAACATGCACAAATAGATGCCTTCCACCCCACTGCCCCCACCCAGCTGAAATCTGGCAACCCTACCTAGGCTACTCTGTCATCATTGGATATGTATATGATAACAGAATTTTAATATCTTCATATATTTGAGCCTTTTTGTATCAAAAACACTTTCTATGAATGTCACGTTTGTAACCATCTATAAACACCTTTATAACATGTTATAATGCATTCATAAGGCAATATAAACATGGTTATGAATATTTATAAAAATGAATTACACTCAATCACACTTTATAGCCATGTTTACTATACATTATGAATTGTTAATATAATGCATTATAAGTAGTGTTGATAACATGTTATACTGTCAGAGCCAAGGAAGTCAGTCCCAGCTTGGAGAGCGTAAAGACAAAAGTTTATTTGCGCCCTGAGATTTCCAGTATTTTATTTCCCACTGCTGGTGCTGTTAGGGCTGCATCTTCGGGGTTTCAGTCCTGAATATTCAGATGATCCAAACAAGTCTTGTAGAACATTTTTAAATAATATTTTCTATGTCTAATCAAACTCCCTACACATGTATAGACATTCATAACTACATATTTACATATATTCATATATCTCTTTAACCCCTTCCACATGAAATCCATATTATTCTTTCTTATTCTTTTTTCTCCTTTTAAGAAGGAGAATTTTATTTTATTTTTCACTGTCCCTCTCTCTCTCCAAACAAGTCTTCAAACAACTCCAAACTTGTCCAGCCAAGAATTGGTTTAATGCCTCATAAATTCCCATCTCTACTTTCTGTTTCCCCTGACGAAGATTTCGTAATCAGCGAATCAATTTAAATCTATTTTCATCGTACCTGCTGCCCTGTCTAGTGCTGCTAGAATCCGACTCGCTCACCCCCGCATGCTCTCCCTGCCTGGATGCTTCCTGCCTGACGGCTATGGTCTTGAGCTTTGGCGGCTCGCATGACTCACTACCCATGATGCGTGTACCAACTGCACCCCTGACTGAACTAACTTTTTGGTGATATGAGATTTTCTTCCAACAACAGTGATATGCTTTCAATCAAAAGCATGAAGTGGGACCCAAATTTTCTTTTTTTTTATTTTTTTATCTATTTGTTTTTATCAGTGAGGTTCTTCTTGGCAGCTGCACATCCTTTCAGGCCCATAGTGCTGAGTTGTCTTCTCACAGTGGGAGGATGGACAGAAACACCTATGTTTTTTTTAAGATCTGAGTCAAGAGTGGAGCTTGATTTGCTCTGTCAAAGATAAAAATCTGCACATGCCATGTTAAAAATGTGCCTGAGGGAGATGTCAGAGTATTATTAAGATAAGGACTCTCAAGTGTACAAAAACAGGGAATGGGGGAATTTTAAAGGCTTTGGTAAGCCTGTTAGCCTTTATAAAGGATGCCCTTACAAAGACAAAGCTCAAAATTGTTCTCCCTTTTATGCTTTGTTTACATAGCATAGTACTTACAGAGAGAATGAAACAAATGGGTCCCAGAAAACTCCACAAAAAGCCTTTGTCTGTCTTAAGCCAGCACCTAGAAAGAAACATCAACATACGCACAAACAATAATAAATCAAGTGTTTGAATATATCTATCTTGAATCATGAGATCCCCTTTCAAACTACTATGAACTAAACTCCACCCCTATTTGATGACCCCCCCACTCTCTACACTCACTCTTTACTGCCGTATCCATCTGGAAACAGTCCAACAGACACGCCCACCACAGTCAGAGGAATGACATATCCAATCGCTATCAGATATTTCCAGCTAAGCACCTCCTTCTGCTTTGATCTGATCTTTGTGAGGTTCTTCACAGCAATGAAGAGCAGCACAGCTTCAATGAACATCCACACAAAAGCAGAGAGAAAGAGGAAGTGCAGAACACCTGCCAGCACTGCACACAGCAGCTGGAGAGAGAGAGAGAGAGAGAGAGAGAGAGAGAGAGAGAGAGAGAGAGTAAAAATGAAAATGGACAGCAATAAAACACATTCAAATGTTGCCAATCTTTTTTCAACCATGTAAATGAAATTGTTACCATGTTTCACCTACACTGCAGATACATTTTTCATTCATCAAGGTACAACAATGTAAACATACCGTCAAAGTACAAGAATGGTTTTACACTCCAAATGTGCCCCTTAAATATGTTTTCCCACAGACATACCATTGAGGGTACCACACCAGTGACAACAGGGGTACCACCCCAGTGACAGTTTTGTCCTTTTTTTCCAGAGAGTGTACAGTAAATAGCAATGGGGCAGTCATGGTGTGACGGAAGGTCGCTGGTTTGATCCTCTGAGCCGAAAGCACATGACTGAAGTGTCCTTGATCAAGACACCTAACCCCCAACTGCTCCCTGGGTGCTGTGGATAGGGCTGCCCACCGCTCCAAGTGTGCTCACTGCCCCCTAATATGTGTTTTTTCACTAGTATGCATGGATGGGTCAAAATGCAGAGGTGAAATTTCCCCACTGTGGGGTCACATAGGGGTCACATAGCAATCATTCCTATGATAGTACAGTATTTGTAAAACCCCCCTATCCTGGGCGAATATATAGGTAATAAATCCCAACTGATGAATGTGCCTGTGATTTAAGATAATTATACTCACCTGCTGAGGTTGTATGTACTGCAGGAATGTCTGTGTGAGCAGAAAGAGGAGGTGAGCCAGTAAGAGGCTTATACACAGGTTTGTCAGAGCTGTGTTGGTCACTCTTGGGTTCCGCCGACAAAAGGCAAAGGTCAAAAGGGTCAAGCTCAGGAAGAAAAGTCCGACTGCCACAGCTACTGTGTTAAACAGGTCCGTCACAGGATCACTCTGGAAATAGATATTTCATCCCACTGTTTAACGTGGTGGCATAAAAAGCAGCTGAATGAAATGAATGAAACTCTCCTGGAGATCTTAAATGAGCTTGTGAAGATTGGGGTAATTTGGGAACATGTAATATTAAATGATAAGAAATATATACACTGTTAGGAAGGATTACTATTGAGACACACTCCTCTTTCCTTAACACTCTTTGCATAACTTCATAAAGTTCGCCAAAAATTGAATTTAATTGTCCTTTAATTTCCTTAAATATTCAATTCTTATAGGTAAACTAGACAGTCTTTTACAGAGAGAAGAGACAGTATTGTATTGAATTGAAAAACAATGCTGAGCTAGTTTGTGTTTAATGTAAAACCACATATTATGTATAGGGTTTAAATTTAGATTCTGATCAGCCCAAAACTGTCAGTAAAATCCATTAGAATTTTGGGTTTGGCCCTTTTTTGTGTGGGAGTGTATGCTTTTTTTATACGTGTGTCTTTTGTCACCATATGCAGTAGCTAATTCCACAAGCATGGTCTATTGATGTCTGCATCCCAGTCGGATTAGAAGTTGACACCTTACCTCCTCTAAAGCCTAGATGAATGGTAGCCTTTTGACCTCATGGCCTTTTTCTATACCATGCACATTAATTATGGAGTAGGCGGGGAATTTACTTTGGACAACTGACTTTGAGCATTTGATTTTCCTTACGTTATCTACTGTGGGTGGGTTGGTCTGCATGATGAGAGCGAAGGTTGACAGGTGATCACAGGAGCATACAGTGTGGCTGCTGTTGGTCTGGAGAAGGATACATCCATGTATAATCCATTCAGTGTTATTCCAGTACACACAAGTGAGTGTACCATTAGGGTCAATGTCCTAGACAAAAGATTGGCAGAAGTATGCTCAGTATGTTGAAAAATAAGCATGTAGTAAAAAATAAGAAAGAGGGACAGTGGAAAAATAAAATAAAATTCTCCTTCTTAAAAGGAGAAAAAAGAATAAGAAAGAATAATATGGATTTCACGTGAAAGGGGTTAAAGAGCTATATGAATATATGTAAATATGCAGTTATGAATGTCTATACATGTGTAGGGAGTTTGATTAGACATAGAAAATATTATTTAAAAATGTTCTACAAGATGGAACTGGCTAAAAGAAGAGACATCCAGGATGCAAGGGTTCATCTGTAATTTTGCCAGTCGGCTTCATCACCCTGCCATTGTAGATGCCGTAAAGCATTGGCAGACTACATCCAGTGATCCACTCCACTGTCCTGATTATGCACTGGAGACAGATTGCTGTGTAGAATGGGATCATCCGGCTCTGTGGTTGGTTGAATTTCTTCAGCTGTCTCAGGAAGAACATTCTCAGCTGTGCTTTCTTGGTGATGGAGACTGTGTTCCTCTCCCACTTCAGGTCCCTGTATGTGGTTGTGCCCAGGAACTTGTGAGACTCCACAATGGAAACCACAGAGCCATTGATCCTAAGGGGTGTAGGGAAGGTGAGTTTTGCCTGAAGTCCACCAGCATCTCTATAGTCTTGTGTCTGTTCAACAGCGGGTAGTTGGTGCTGCACCAGGAGACCAGCTGCTTGACTTCCTTTCTGTAGGCAGAGCCATCACCATTGGCTATGAGGCCAAGCACACTGGTGTCATCTGCAAACTTCAAGATCTTCACAGCTGATTCCTTGGAGATGTAGGCATTAGTGTACAGACTGAAGAAAAAAGGATGGGAGCACAGAATCTTGTGTTACTGAGGCTTCTGTTTGTCAAGAAACCTGCAATCCAGCAGCAGATGGGATCTGGCAAAGGCAGCTGGGAGAGTTTGACCTGCAGTAGCTCAGGCACTATGGCATTGAAATCATTTGACATCCACAAACAAAACTCTAGCATAGGTTCCAGTTCTGTCAAGATGCTGTAGCATGAGGGCAGGGCCAAGTTGACCACGTTGTCAACGGACCTGTTTGCTCTGAATGCGAATCCAGCAGAGGGTTTGTAATGGCCTCCAGGTGAGCTGGGACTAGGTGTTCAAAGACCTTCATGACTATAAAGGTGAGAGGTCAAATTGTATCCCTCAAACAGCATAAATTTTACAGCCTTTTACTTTCTTTGTTCCTCTCCAATCTGCAGTGTCTGTGCAACATTCTGCTCAATAAAACCAACAAGGATTTTTAACCTCATCTGTTCTCTACTTTAGAGACCTGGCTTTCTGATCTGAAAAAAAGACAGCAGGCTGCACCAGCTTCCAGCTGCCCAGAGTGGACAAAGAAACATAGCAAACCAGGAAAACTAAGGTGGGAGGAATCGGTTTCTATGTCAGTGAATGTGGGTGTAAGGACATCATAGTACTGTTAAAATCTAGGGTCACCTTTCCTCATCTACAAGCTATGCTACTCTTCTAGAGAGTTTTCTTGTTTTATGTTGGTCGTACTGCCAGAATCGTACACAAGAGATGCACAGAAGCAGTTAGCCAGTCTGACTGTTAGAGTAAACAAAGAGAATCTGGACTCACTACTCATCAGTCTTGGAGGCTTTCAGACTTTGAATGCAAATCTAATGCAGTAGAGGAAATGCAAACAAAAGAATTACAGACAACATATCACTCGCGCCACGAGAGAGAGGAAAAGTTTGGACCACTATTAAAAATGCATATTATGCTGTCACATGCAAATCTCGGGCATTCTGACCACAGTCTTGTTTACCTCATCCCAACATACAGGCAAAAACCTAAAGCCAACAAGCCTTTTGTCACAACAGTGAAGAGGTGGAACAGAGGAGATATTGAAAAGCTGAAGGGCTGTTTTGATTCCACAAACTGGACTGTTTTTAAAGAGGTGGAATAGATTAATACATGGACACCTTGATGTCGTACATCAGTTTCTGTGAGGACAGCTGCATTTCATCTACAGCACAGATGAAATACAGCAATGATAAACCATGGTTTACAGCTGAACTCAAGACAGCTTCGGAAAGAATAGGAGCAGCGTTTAGCAGGGACAGAGTTATGCTACACCTGAAACAAAAATGTGTCAAAACAAATAGAAATACACTGCCATGAAAAATGATAGTATTGATAGTATAGATAATAATAATAATAATAATAATAATAATAATAATAATAAAAATAGAATTCACAACTGAAAAACAAATAGAGATCCAAATAGAGATTAAATATATCAGAAAACTCACTGCAATGTGTTTCAGGGTGAAGTTGACCGGTTTGGTGAGCTGTGTGTTGGTGGTTTTGGGCAGTGTTGCTGACACCACATTGGACATCATGGTTTTCTCTGTTTTGTTAGTTGTGTTGAAGAAAGTGGGTTTCAGTATGCTTGATATGTTCGTGTAACTCATGAAGGCCACAGCAGCTGATCCTGAAGCACATCAACAAAAATACATCAATATAATCAGACCTAATGCAGGTTTCAAGAGAAAATTCCACCCTTTTGAGCAGTTGAACATTTGAGCAGAAGTTTATTTCACATTTCAAAGACGTTTTATTGTTAACAAATCAATAATAAGCCTTTCTGTGGTGCTGTGATTTGCACTAAATGTGTAACCAGCACAATGCATCCAACAATAAAGACAGCAGGCACAGTAGCAAAATAAAAGCTCAAATTCCACATGCTGATCCATTTTACTATGAATGAAGTGCCCAGTTACTCTGGGGAGATTTTAAAGAAGTTAAAAGAGACAAAATCATAAATTATCAGTTGATCAGCAACAATACATTAAATTTTGCATTATGTATTTTTCTTTTTTATTTAGAAGAATCACTTGATTGTTTTGAAATCGCAAACTCTGTCTCAAAATGCAGTGACAAAATGAGCTATGATCATAAATCCCTTTGTCCTTCAAATTCAGGATAAACTGACCCCAATTATGGCAGCAGAAAAGTGCAAACATTCAAAGATTGCTACTATACCGTTGTTGTTCTTTGAGATCTGGATAAGGTCAATAACCATCTGAGCATTGTTTATGCTTAGCCGAGGGATTTCTGTCAAGGAGGCTTTTGGTCCAACAGTAAAGACATGAACATCTGAGAGATATAAACCATGATCATAAATGATACTGTAGTGCAATACAGTGCTTTATATTTTAAAGTTTGGGCACCACTGGTCAAATTACAAATGTTGCTGAAAAGGTAGAGAAGAAAATAAGTAAACACAACCTCTGTAGCAAAAAAAGGGGGAGAACACTGCAATTATTCATGCAAAATAGAAACAATAACTATGGCATATGCAAATGCTTGGACATTCTACCTTTGGCAGACATCACAGCTTGCAAACTCCTTTGTAGCCAGCTGGGAGTAATTGTAATTCTTGTTTTAGGAATTTTCATTGCCACTTCTTTGCAGAACACTTCTAGTTCTGTAATATTTTTGTGGCACAGCATGTTTAATATCTGTAAGGGCAATTCCAAAAACTTCAGCTTGTATTTAAGTAGTTCATAGTGGATTTTGCGGTGTGTTTAGGATCATTGTCTTGTTATAGTAGCCAGCCTCTGTGAAGCCTCAATTTCTCAATTGTCTTTGTCACATTTCCTTCTTTTCATCTGCCTGTTTGTTTTTTTGTACCACTGGCTGCCATACAATTCTAAAGTAGAATAGATCCATCCCATGCTTAACACTTAGCAAGGTGTTCTAGTCATCAAATGCTGCTCTATGTACCTTTTTTGATTTGGCCAAAGATTTTTTACTTTGTTAATACACTGTACTTGTTTCCAAAATCCCTCTAGCTGATCTAGATGATGTTTAGCTAATGCTGACTTTTGTGATAAGATCTTTCCTTCTGGTGATTCGTCCATGCAGATCCTGTTTGTGCAAGCAATGCTGTGTCAGGAGTGGCAGTGCATCATTTATTTCCAGATTTTCAGTCAGAAACCCAGTGTTAAGAGTCAAAGAGTTTGTTACGCTGTGGAATTGTCATCAGCTGACAGTTCCTAATGACAATTTTTGACCTGCCTAGCCACTCCTAATGAGTTATTGAAGTTCTGAGACTTTACAGCTGGAGTGTCCAAACCTTTGCACAGTCCTAACCAGTCTTTTTCTATTTTGGAAGTTTATCAAATATAGAGTCTTCAAAATTCAAGAAAATGTGTAATGGGGTGCCCAAACAACTGTAAATTGAATTAAGATAATTTTCAGATATTTTTATCTGTTGAAAGTTGAGGAGTCACTAAACCATTTATTTATGTAGTCATTTACCTAAACCATTTAGAGAGATCTTAACTGAGCTGTTGGTTTCTGTTGGCATCACCAGTGTAGACACCAATATCTCAGTCTTGTTCAGCATTGTGATCCCAGCAGATACAGGTACCTGTGCATTAATTACTTCAACTTTCAGAACCTGCTCCTGTAGCATCTTCTCTACAACCTGATCAATAAAGAGATTACAGAAAATCAGATGACAGAATAGAAATTAACATAAATAATGTATGCAATAAATACACATATGCTTATCCATAATATTTTGATTGGATTTTTCTTACAGTACTTACTTGTGGTGGGAGCACTGGATTAGTGCTATTTTCAATTTGCTTAAAGATATCATCTGCACATTTTGCTGATATATTTCCCTAGAACAAGAAGTTAGACGTTTCAAAGTCTCTACACATTAGATGATTATTAATGGTAGTGGTAATTTTATATTTTTAGTGCTAATGTGTAACGTCTGCAAATGTGCTGTTATTTTATTTAGAGTGTATTTCTTTTGCCTTTGCAATGTTTACTAACTTGTGTGTAAAGCATGCTGATGTTTAATAAATTGAGTAATTCTTCTTCTTCTTCTTAATAATAATAATAATAATAATAATAATAATAATAATTTGATTAACAAACCTGACATTCCTGAGGCATTGTGATAGTCTGAACTGAAAGAGAAAAATATACATCACATATAAAATACATATGAAAATACATCATTTTCTTCACATTCATTAAATTTATTCTTCAATGTGTAACAAACATGTAGGTAATGAATTGAAAACAGTAAAGTGTAAAGTGTAAATTTTATGATGCATTCATTAATAAATTTAAATCTTTTCAGGGAGTAAACAGCCTACAGAACTAAACACACAGTGAATATGTCAGTAATGTGTTGTGTAAAACTTTAATAAATGTAAATAAAAACAGGATGCAATAGTTTGCAAATCTCATAGACCCAAATTTTATTCACAATAGAACATAGAACAAATATCAGATGTTGAAACATTGAGACATTTTACCATTTCATGAAAAATATTAATTCATTTATAACTTGATGGCAGCAACACATCTCAAAAAGTTGGGACAGGGCCGTGTCTACCATTGTGTAGAATTCCCTCTTCTTGTAACAGCAGTCTGTAAACGTCTGGGAAGTGAGGAGACCAATTGCTGGAGTTTTGGGAGAGGAATGTTGTCCCATTCTTGTCTGATGTAGGATTCTAGCTGTTTAACAGTCCTAGGGCTTCTTTGCCAGTTTTTTTGGTTCATGATGCACCAAATGTTTTCTATTGGTGAAAGGACTGCAGGCTGGCCAGTTCAGCACCCGGACTCTTCTTCTGCGAGGCCATGCTGTTGTGATGGACGCAGTATGTGGTTTAGCAGTGTCTTGCTATCTATGCAAGGTCTTCCCTATTTAGCATTGATGGTGCCTCTCCAGATGTGTATGCTGCCCACACCATAGGCAATAATGCAACCCCAGACCATCAGAGATGCAGGCTTTTTAACTGTGCACTGATAACAAGCTGGATGGTCCCTCTCCTCTTGAGTCTGCAGGACACAGTGTCTGTGGTTTCAAAAAAAGAATTTCAAATTTTGATTTGTCTGACCACAGAACAGTTTTACATTTTGGCTCGGTCCATTTTAAATGAGCTTTGGCCCAGAGAAGATGGCGGCGTTTCTGGATCATGTTGATATATGGCTTCTCCTTTGCATGATACAGCTTTAACTTGCATTTGTGGATTGTACAGCAAACTGTCTTCACAGACAATGATTTCTGGAAGTGTTCCTGAGCCCATGCAGTGACTTTTTTTCTAAAGCTGTTCCACAATTTTAGACGCAGTTTTTCACAGGTTGGTGAACCTCTGCCCATCTTTGCTTCTGAGAGACTCTGCCTCTCTAAAATGTTATTTTTATAACCAGTCATGTGAGTTAGTTGCAAATTGCTCCTCCGGCTGTTTTTTATTAGTACCACTTACTTTTCCAGCCTTGCTCCTGTCCCAACTTTTTTAGATACATTGCTGCTATCAAGTTCTAAATGAGTTAATGTCTTTCATGAAATGGTAAAATGTCTCACTTTCAACATCTGATGTATTCTATGTTCTATAATAAATAAAATAAGGCTCTATGAGATTTGCAAATCATTACATTCTGTTTTTTTTTTTTGTTGTTGTTTTTTTTTAACATTTACATTTTACACAGCATCCCAACCTTTTGGGAATTTGGGTTGTAATATTGGGCTGTGTTATCTAATATCACTTGCAATGTAGTAAAGTCCATGATTAAATGCTTTTTCAAATTATACTGTCTCAAATGGCATAAAGTGCTGGCCTATATGGAAATGTGAACAGTATACATAACTAATATTTATTAATAAAAACATATTGCAATATATATTGTTTTTATGGTTACGACAAGTAAACAACCATACACAAAAATATCTGATTAGGTTTGAACCAAGAACCACCTCTTTTCCACAGCATTAAAAACAATGCACTGGTTAAACACAATCAGTTAGCAGTAACCGTATGCACAATCTGCAGGTTTAGATATAAAATATTTTTAAATACAATGGAAATGACATTTAAATTTGAATATATTTTTATTTGGCACATCTTTTTGTATATTTAAAGTATGTTACACTATTAAACAAAGAATTAATAGGCTGTTGCCCAATCTGTGTGTGCCATCTCTCACATGATTCTGGGTCATTGTAGTTATTGTGTGTGAAAGGAGGGCAAAAAACAAAGATTTTACAAACAATATTTGAATGTAAAAATTACCTTGAATTCTGAGTAAAAGATCCAGCTTGTCGCACTTCATATAATTATAAATATAGAATTTATTTATAATGAATACTTTATATTGAATACTGATATTTATGTGTCAATTTACATTAGAATTATTATTATATAAACAGTTCAAAGTTAACATGTGTTAGCTTGGTGGATAATGCTAATTATATTAGCTTGTATGCTAGTGCCTACAGAATAAGTGTTTTTTTCTGTGTTTAAGTCTTCAAACTTTCATTAGAAAAATCTGGGATTTGCTTGACTCATCACATGATTCTGGGTGTTTGTTATGACGGCGTTTTAGGGCCACTGTTAATAAAAAGAAAAATACTAGTCTTCGAGAATAAAGTCATAATATTTAAAGAAAAAAGTAGTACTATTTTCAGAATAAAGTCATATTATTTTGAGAAAAAAAAAGTGAAAAAATTGTGTAATATTTCGAGAAAAAAGTCATACTATTTAGAGAATAAAGTAATAATATTTTGAGAAAAAGTTCACAATATGTCCACAAAAAATGTAATATTTGGAGGATAAAGTGGGCTAACTGTTTGGGGGCTGCCATAATGTGTTGAGGTCTCAGTTGCTGTACTGGCGCCGGAGCTCCACTCACTCCTGTCTCTCTGTGGATCATTTTGATCATCATTCTCACTGTCTGTGAAACTTCATGCCCTCTTTGAATGGTGTGGAGGTGTAGCCACCGATAGCCGTGTAGACGACCCTGCCTGAGATTCTCCTTCAACAAAACAGACAGTTTCCTCCGAGCCTGTCTGGCTCTTTATTCTAGATAAACACAGTTTCCTCCGAGTCCGTCTGGCTCTTTATTCTAGATAAACACAGTTTCCTCCGAGCCTGTCTGGCTCTTTATTCTAGATAAACACAGTTTCCTCCGAGCCTGTCTGGCTCTTTATTCTAGATAAACACAGTTTCCTGCTCAGCCGTTTCAGCCATTTTTTACACTAATAACAGGCTGGTGCTGATGTGCAGGAGAGACAGGGAGACTGAGTGTTTCTTTATGGGTGAATCGATATGAAAGTATAACTCCACCAACTCACCGCCCTTCATTTAACATGAGGAGTTGCTGCCTTCCTTTTGCAAAGCCTTTGGCCACAATATTGCACACTTTCCTGGTATTAATGGCACTTTAATGCCACAAATAATGACTTATTTTTCAAAATATTACGACTTTTTTTCTCGAAATAGTATGACTTTATTCTCGAAATATCATGCAGTATGACTTTTTTTCTTGAAATATTACGACTATTAACAGTGGCCCTAAAATGCTGTTACAGACTATAGACATTGGTAGGAGTATGTGCACAAAAAAATTGTTCATACAATGTTATCCAAGAAGTAAAGCTAGCTGGCCTTGCTAATGTAACAGCAGTTACTAGCCTAGCTGTTGGATATTTTTAAACACTTACATTATTTCTTTTAACATATAATCCTCAATTTCCTATAAAACACATGCACATAAAAGCAAGTTGTACAAGCAGATGTGGAAATATATTGTAGTGGTAATTCACAAGAAAACAGTTAAAATAAATAAAATTGGCACTTAAGCTCTTTGGCTTAGTGTGCAAACTGGAATGATAATCTACTGAATTGCAACACTGTGATAATTGAATGTTGACCACTGGGGTGGGCATTTCACTGCCCTAACCATGCAGAACTGGTCTCACCTCAAAGGCAAATATTAAAGTGAAAGAGTTAGCACAGGGGTTTGGGGATTGCCAGGAGGGGGTGCAATGGAGGGTGGGGTGTAGGGAAAATTTTTAAAAATGCTAAAACAAAGCTCTTCTCCATGAAGAGAAAAAAAGGATTAAATGCACTTAAAATTTTCAGTACAAGATCAAACTTGCAGGACTGTGCATAATGTTTTGCACAATTTCAAACAATTATTATTATTGGGACTACTGAGCAGGCCAGGCTAGAAGAGTGTTTCTCACTGAATTCCTAACAGGTTTCTCACTGATCCCATTATACACCTCATTAAACGAGCATTTTCAAGTATCTACCTGTGGGTCTCAGTAAGTGTAATGAAGGAATCTGTGCCCAGAAAAGCTAATTGAAACGACAGTAAATTTTAAATTTCAGCTAACTGAAATGCCAATAGTGCCGAGTGATTTTAGTTTTTGCTCACTTTGGAGAGAAAAATCTAAACTGCGCTTGACTCTATACATAGAAAATACATGTAAATTCATGTCTGTACAACCTAATGTTAGCTGGTAAGTTAATAAAGTACTTATGTATGCTAATTTCTAGTTTTAGAATAATCATTTTGTAAACTGTATGCAGTGGTAATCTGAGGTAGCTCAGTAGCTAATGCTATGGTTGTTGGTATATATTCTAAATTATGCAACAGTTGGTTCCGGCCACACAAGCTGATTGGTTGAGAAGCGTTCCATAACATCACAGCTTTTTCACAAACACTGTATCACTCCGCTGAGACGCCATTGCTAAGCAATGAGTTTGATGAGTTTGTACTTCTTGCTTTGCACACAAACAGAAAATGGATACTTTTAAGATCACATTTGACTGACAGTCGATTTGGTCAGACTCTGAAGATGAGACTACACTAAATTCCCAAACTATCCACACCACTGAGCAGCTTTTCAGTCAGCAGCTGTGACAGAAGAACAGCTAAACAACCTGGAATCAGCCAGAAATAAACCCAATACCATTAGCCAAACGTGTAGTCTGATCTTCAGAGTCTGACAAAATTGGACTGAGCCATAAAACTGGCACAATAAAAAACAAAAAAGCTGCTCAGCGGTGATGACAATTTAGTGTGAGGAGCTGGAGAACGAACTGCCGGCTGTGCAGCGAGTGAGCGGAGCTCATTTCTCTGACGCAGCAACAAGCTGCTTGTTAAGGAACTATAATTTGGTGAAGGAACTGCGAACATTAAAACATATTAAACGCTGTGTTCACGGCCCAGTTTATTAATTTATTACTGTATTTATTTAACTGTTGTATAAAAGCAATAGAACACTCGAGGTTGTGTGTTATCACATATAACAAATCACAGCCGTGATGTTACTTTGTGCTAACACACTCCTCCTAGGGTTCTATTGCTTAAATAAGTAAGAAACTTTTTTTCTGTCATATTTTTACATTATCAATAGAAAGAAAATGTTTTTATACATTAATCTGGACATTTGAAACCATTTGTGTCAACATGTGCACCTAAAAAAAAATAATTTGTCTATACAACAGGGCGTTAGCTTAGGAGTTAAGCTAGCTGCCAAGCCATTACATCAGTGATATTATGGAATAAACAGTGGCCATACTTCTTTCTCTTCTTTAAACAGTCAAAAGTAAGTCTTTTGTTCTCGTCATCACTTTTAAAACAGTTTGTAAATCTAGTGACCAATGTTCACTTTGTAATGACAAAGTGTTTGTCTTTATATCTCACACCATGCAATAGATTTCAGAAAATCCTACAGCACAAAGGTTTACTATTTCTGAAACAGTATATAGATCACATTCTCATTAATACCTACTGTATCTACAGTCAAATCAGCTATTTGATTAGACTCAGATATCATTATTGACGCAAATGAAATTAATGAAAGTTGAAAATGAAAGTGTAAATGTACCTGTTGTCTGAGGAGCAGGACTTGTAACAGTTGTCCCTAAAACAAGACAAGACAATATTTATTCTGAAGTAACAATAATTAACAATAGCTTATTATAATTATGCTAAATCGTTATTATATCTATGACATCTACATATAGTCTGTAAGTTATTTCAATTTTAAGTGGTTTAAGGTTTTGACAATCCTTCTTGTAACTTACATGAATTTGTGGTCCAGTAAGTGCTAACAGCCATTGTTGCTGTTGTTGTTGTTGTTGTCGTTGTAGAGACTGACGTGATGGTGCTCACGTCTGAAAGGAGGGCGTGAAACATAGATTAAAAAAATGTCATGTAAATACATCCTTTGTCTAAGTATGACATCAAGCTTGTATTTGTACACAAATTAGGACACAAATGCTATGACGTGACAGTAAAATTGTATAAATGGAAGCCACTGGTCTAAACAAACATTTTGTTCATTTCCTAAGTGAAAAGAAAACCAAGTCTCCATGAAACTTAAACGTGACACATTTCTGCAAATTGTACTTGACAATTATGTCATAATACTATAATAATAATATTAATAATTAATAATGTCTGTAACATCATACAGCTGACTGAGGACCCGAAACTGAAGATAACTGACGCTTACAAAACAAAAGAAGACTATAAATAAACACCCCCTGCATACAGTTTTCACTGTCCAAAATGTCATTATGAAATGGGAGTTTGTTCAGGTATGCATAGCAAAACCCCCACATCACTGCCAAGGACCTACAATTTGTCTGGCATATGAATAGTAATGCACTGGTCCACTGCGCAGACATCATCTACATGGAAGAGTTATCAAAAGATAATCTTAACTGACAAAACGTCAAGGTCTGAAGTATGCAAAACAACATCTAGAAATCCCAGAGGCACTTTAGAATCTAATTTTGTGGTCTGATAAAATAAAAATTAACTTTTGGTGACAATTAAAAGTATATTTAGAAAAAAGGAACAGCATTTTATCAAAAGCACACCTTGCTAATTGTGAAGATCTCTAACATGCTGCCATGCAAAATGAACTATGTATATTTCTGAACTATATTAATCCTGCAAGGACAAGTGAGAGAAATTCCTAAATCAAGAATAGACAGACTGTTAGTGGCTACAAAGATTTAGAGGATGCAAATTCAGCCAGAAGCATTCTTACTAAGTAAAGACTGAAAGAATACCCAAACGTATGCACATTTCACATTGTATGATGAAATCAGTGAGAGAATTTCAGATTTTTTTAATGCTGTGGGTGTTTCCTTTTCACTTAGAAAATCAACAAAATATGTAATTTAACTGGGGTACCCAAACCTTTGCATACAATTGTAACTTTACTAAAAGAGAATGATTTTTTTTCATTATAAACATTTAAATTCTTTGCCTACAGTGTTGATCTATTCAGTACTCACTTAAAAGGTTATATTGTCGAGAGTCCCTTTGATAACCTACTTGATTTTGTGCTCAGTTTAGTGCTATAACCACAGTTGTTGTGGCAGAGACTGACACACTGACTGAGAAAATTAAAGTCTGATTAAATGCTATTAAAATAACTGGAAAAATCACAGTCTAAATCTTATACCAGAGTTACAGTACCTGCACAGTAAGCTGAATTGCAGTTGACTGGCCTGACAAACTCATAGACGTAATAGTTTCCTGGACATGCTTTGACTCGAATTGGGATGGATCTGTAGTAGCAGCAGTCACTTCCTGAATTTCCACAGACTCCACGAGTGACTATTCCATCCTCTATCTGAGGGTGAGATCCATTCAGCCACAGAGTGTAATAAGTACCACATCTGGATCGATTAACACAGCTGTCTGGCATACGGACACTCATCCCGTTATACAGCAGCCGATACCAGCCAGTCCATTTGGTGTTGCTATCACAACTGGACCCTCCAGTCATATTAGTTCCTCTCCAGGGTTGATCCAGAGAAGTATAGCTATTGCAGGGATCATAACTGGGAGCCTCAAAAGACACTGTCATGAAAACAGATGAACATATAGAAATATCAAACAGTGGAAAATAACAACAAATATTTATTAACGCACCCAAAATGTTTCGGTGAAGCCCTTATGATCTGCTTTAAATTATCAGTGATATTAATGCGCAGAACAAATGTCAAGCCACAACTGACATGTGTCTAACACTGGATGATGACCACAGTGTAATGAGCATGTGCAGTGATGAGGTTAAAAAAAAAAAATAAATAAATAAATAAATAATTATGAAAAGACTCCAAAATGGCTGTACAGCAACTATCCTACAGTGCTTAGTTAGTGCTGTTTAACGGTACAAAGCACCAAATTAAAATAGGTGTGCCGGGATGGTTTGCAATTGTTTCTAATTCAGTTTCTATACATTAATTTTCATTCATTTTATATGTTTGTTTAAATTACTTAATAATTGTGCAGAGACTTTACAATTCATTCTTCATGATGATCAAGATGCTCATATGGATAGTGTGTTGCTCCCACCAGTTGTGGGTTGGTTATTTATTTATTTATTTATTTATTTATTTATTTATTTATTTATTTATTTTTAGGGTATGTCAGACCCAATCACTTGGAAAAACTGACCATCAAGGAAACCTTAACTTATACGCAAAAAACATATTTTGGGAAATGTTCAAGAAATCCAACAATGACTATTCATTCTCATCTGCCCTCGGCTTTATGGAGACCTTGCTTTCTGATCCGACAACAGACAACCTGCTGTATCTACCCAGCTTTCAACTGCATATACTGGACAGAGAGGCACAGCTAACTAGTAAAACCAAAAGGGGAGGAATATGTATGTGTGTCAATGACCAGTTGTGTAAAGACATCGTAGTACTGGTAAAATTATGCATTGATTATTTTGAGTCACTTTTCATCATTTTCAGAGTAGACTATGAAGCACTCCTGTAACTCGCACTGGATAAGAGTGTCTTTTTAATGCTACAAATGTAAATGTCAAAATTCACCTCAGAATATTTTATATATATATATATATATATATATATATATATATATATATATATATATATATATATATATATATATCATTTCAGCTATACAATTCATTATGAATGAACAATATAGGAAACAGCAGACTTTACCTGCACAGTATGTGGGCATTGGAAGTGATATAGGTGGCTTGACGAGTCTGTAGACGTAGTAATTTCCTGGGCAGGCTTTGACTTGGATGGGGTTTGATCTCAAACTTGAAATGCACTGTTTGCTGTTAGTCCTATCACTAAAAAATCCATAGATCTCTCGGGTGACGATGCCGTTCTGTGGTACAGGATGAGATCCACCAAGTAAAAGTGCAGTGCAACCACCACAGGACATGTAACTTGCACACCAATCAGATTCAGGAATCTGTGCACTTTTTCCCTGCAGATACAGCCGATACCAGCCGTTCCATTCAACAAGAGTGTCATCAAAACTACTGGAGCTGTCATAGAACAAACTGTGTTCTCTTCTCCAGTTATTATTAAGACTGCTGGAGACATTGCAGGGGTCAAAAGTAATGTTTTGTAGAGGGTCTGCTGTAGGAACAAAAGTCAACGAGATGAGATTTGTCTAAGGAACCATTGCTTCTACATAGCAAGTGCAGGATCACAGAGCACTCAAAAGACAAACATCAAAAAATGTTGCAAACAATTTATACATTTACTTATTTAGTTAGTTAGTTAGTTATTGTGGTTACTGGTTATTTCTTATCTTATGTAAGGTTACACTAGGTTGGCATGGGAAGCTAAAGTAGCATGGGGAATTAAAGGAGACAGTAAAACATTTAAAACTTAAAACCTTCTAAATCCTTGCCAGATTTTGGCTTTAAATCTTTATTGAAAATGTCAACATACTCAAACTCTAACATCCAAAGTATGGAATATAACAGGTGAAAGTCTGTTATGAGCTTTAAATATCTGTGCTTAAGCTAGACAGCTACTATAAAATGTAAATATACAATATGTTAGGTTGATACTATCATAACATTGGAATTCCCATTAGGATACCAACAAAAAAAAAATGCATTATCTTAGCAGTCACAAACAATGAGATACTAAAACTGCGACTAACATTAAGAATTAATTAGTATGTTTTTATTTTATATTTTTCACAGTTGTCTTTCAAAGAGCACAGGCAACCATGTTAAACTATGTAACTTGATACTAGTGAATCTCAATTTTTTTGGGCAAAGTGTTTATTTAGATCACAACACATTCAGAAGGTAAAATATTATAATAATTTGTACACCTACTGGTGTTTACACTTGATGCAGGAGTTCTGGTCACAGTGGTCAAGCCGATGTTTGGAGTGATGGTATTCACATCTATTGAAACAAAATATGAAAAATAATAAAAACAAACCAGTAGGCCACAAAACCGTAAACAAGACTCTTAAAGAAACACGTGGGTCAAAGTTTAATAAAGTTTTCAAAAATAATGATGTAGGTAATATATAATGTGGTGCTGCAGTACAATATTTAAAAAGATTGTGTGTATACACTTAAATCTACTTCAGGTATGTTTACTGAAATGTACTGTATTTTTCATTGGGAACCTTGAAAGATTACATAGCTTGTGGTGCTCATGTATTCAGTAATCTAAGTAAAAATGTCAGGAGTTCTCCTGCCGCTCCATTCAACGCTTATGGCCGTGGTTGTTGTGGCAGAGTTTATGTTCAAATGTGAAGAAGGAGCATAAAGCAAAAATGAAAATACTTGTAAAAACACTGGAAAGCAGTGAGATAGTCAGAGTACCTGCACAGTAAACTGCATCGCAGGAAGCTGGCCTGACAAACTCATAGACGTAATAGTTTCCTGGACAAGCTTTAACTCGAATTGGTGTGTAAGTTAAAGAACAGCAGTCACTTCCTGAACTCCCACAGACCCCACGAGTGACTATTCCATCCTCTATCTGAGGATGAGAACCATTGAGGCACAGAGCAACATTAGTTCCACACATGGATCGACCAATACAGCGCTCTGGCATACGGATGCTCATTCCATAGTACAGCAGCCGATACCAGGCATTTCCATTAAAGTTGGAGTCACAGATGTACAGTCCAGTTGCATTAGTAGCTCTCCAGGGTTGATCCAGAGAAGTGTAGTTGTTGCAGGGATCATTAACAGCAGCTGTTTATGAAAACAATAACATGTGTCAACAGTGAAGGAATTCAGAATTTATCAGCCAATTTAACTGCAATTTAACTACTCTGGCTATTTGCTCCATTTAAGCATCTATGTTATTTCCTTCAACATATAGTCCGAGACTCTTTACAAAGAATTTTAGGAAATTAAAAAAAAAAAAAAATGCTAAAACAACGCTCCATGAACAGAATGAAAGATTAAATTAAAATTCTCTAAAAATAGATCAAATTCTCAGTAAAAGATCAAACGAGGAACACTGTACGGAATTTGTGCATAATGATTCGTTTCCATACAGAACTTATTTTACTGTTATTAGTGTGACTGCTGAGCAGGCCAGGCTAGAAGAGTGAATGTTTCTCACTGAGTTCCTGACAAGTTTCTCACTGATCCTATTATACACTTAATTAAACAAGCGTTTTAACGCATCTACCTGTGGGTCTCAGTAAATGTAATGAGGACAGCAGTTACAAAAGACAGAAGGTAAAGGGAGGAGCGGTCTGAAAGGGCAAATCTGAATGAGGATAAAGAAAGAATGGAGCAATCCAGGGATAGCCTGACCCAAAGCTTGAACTTGGGCCACAGGGGTAAAAGTCCAAAAGCTTACCAATAAGTTATGACTTATTCCTGAGGTGCACCTGGCAAAGGGGTGAGTCAGAGGCTCAAGACAGCAGAGAAGAACTAGAGAGAGAAAAGATCTGAAGAAAAAGTAACTCATTTTTTTTTAACACAAGGGGTCTAGAGAGAAGGGCCTAAGGATGCCGATAGGAAACTTGAGAGGGTTCTCTAATCTTCCCAACATTGATGAATGATTAAACACCTTAAATGTTACTTCTTCTTTCCAGCAACCCAGGTCCTTTCTACGGAGCCCCTAAGGGGCTGTGGTTAAAAAAAATAAATAAAAAATAAAAAATACATTGTGTTCCTTCGCAAATGTTTCGCATTCCCTTGCAAATAAAATGCATTCCCTCGTAAATGTTTTGCAATACAATGCAACGGTTTGCATTTGCTTACAAAAGCTGTGCTTTGCTTAAGCACAGACATGAAGCAGCTCACTGAATTTGACATTGATCTTGTATTGAAATATAAAGACATGTCGCTTCTCAAAATCAACCATGATTATGCTGTTGATGAGCGCAAACTGAAATTGAGATCAAGTGTCCTCATACAGTAAAAGCTATATTTACAGACACTGCAGAGAACAATTGCTGAATAAACGCAGCACAGACTGGCGAAACTGGGAAAACAGCTTTTAATGTCAGCTGTGCTAAAAACAAAGCTCTAATGTAGGCGATGTCGTTCGGCACCTCTGGTCCTACATTTGCTTGCTGTCTGACGAGCATATATTTTGCAAGGGAACGCATTCTATGCGTTTAGGGGCTTCTTACTTTTTTTTTCCATAGCCTGATAATTAATTTAATGATGACATCGTCCCATTTTTTCCAATGCCAGAAAAATCAAGAGAACCTTCTCCAGATACTTGCCGAAGCGACAGTTGGAGGAGCATGCATGAGTGTATTCTACTCTGGAAGAATTTTTCAGGTATTTACATTGACATCACTACATGCACAGTCATAAAGAACAAACAACAGGGAGGATAAAGGGTCATGCACACAAGTGAACATTTTGACAGATGAGGTTCAACAATAGTCAACATGAAATATGATTACATTTAAGCAGATCATCTCATTTCTAACACCACTTGTACGCAGCATTAGACTAACATTAATGTTGGATAAGCAGTAGTTTTAGGTTACCTAGCTATGTTGACCTTGTATGTAATCTTGGTGTGTATATGTTCACAATGTCTGCATTGTAGCTTTGAGCAGGTGTCTATACTGACTTTGAACAGGATATTTTACAAATGAGTTGATGTGGCAAGCTAGTTTATTTGTGTTTATTTGTAGTTATGAGAGATTCTTCCACACCCACAAAGTATGGATTAATGAGGCGTGCATGTTCATGTGTTTAGCTTTGGAAAGAGGGAAGTAAGGACTGAGATTATTGTTCAAAAACTAGCTTACACTTCTCGGTTTCTACAAAATCACCTTCCTCAGCTTCAAAAACAGCTAATCACAATTGTGCTAAATTATTATGATATACAGATTGTGAAACTTTACAGTGTAAATCTATTCTGTAAGTTATTTGAAGGTTAAAATGTTGAGCAATCCCTATGGAAACCTACTTGGAGTCGTGGGCAGTGGAGTGCTAATGGCAGCTGTTGTTGTGGTAGAAATTGCTGTGGTGGTGCTCATATCTGAAGAGATGGCAAGGAACAAACATGTAAAACAACAAAACATGTAAAAACACATTTACATAAATTCAACATTCTCCATTGAAGAGCAGTGTAAAAGAGGGCTAAAAAAATATGCAGAGAAACAAGAGAAACAGATAGACCACATAGTTGTGGCAGAACTTCTGAAATCCCAAAAGGGGTCATAAAACAACTTTGAAAGTTAAAAAAATTCTAATCAAATCATTGGACATTTACAGTGTAGAGTGTACAGTAAGTTACCTGCACAATAAGCTACATAGCAGAAAACAGTTGGCCTGACAAACTCATAGACGTAGTAATTTCCTGGACATGCTTTCACTCGAATTGGGATGGATCTGTAGTAACAACAGTCACTTCCTGACATCCCACAGACTCCACGAGCGACTATTCCATTCTCTATCTGAGGGTGAGAACCATTCAGCCATAGTGTGAAATCAGCGCCACATCTGGATCGAATAACACAGCTGTCTGCCATACGGACGCTCATCCCGTTATACAGTAGCCGATACCAGCCAGCCCAGATGTTGTTTCCATCACAGTTGGACCCTCCAGTCTCATTAGTGGCTCTCCAGGGTTGATCCAGAGAGGTGTAGTTATTACAGGGATCATAACTGGGAGTGTCCAAAGCAACTGTCATGAAAACATAAAATATTAAACAGTGAGCAATGAATATACAAGGTGTATAACAGTAAATGTCTTATTTATATAATCAATAAACGTAAGAAAATATGTCAGTGAAGCCCTCATAGCCTACTATAGAATATGAGTGACATTCATGTGTGAAATTAATTTCATTTTATCAAGTTAAAGCATTGCTGACTCTCTATGATGACCACAGTGATATGAGTGATGTTTGAAAAAATCCCTAACTAAGTTAATGGGCAGGTGCCATCACTTGTATTTTGTTTTTGAACATGGAGCTGGTACTATACAGTGCAGTGTGTATTTCTGTGTTTTTATCTGCATGTCATGGCATCAGGGGTGTGTACTGCGTGGTTGTTAGGAGGTTGCTAGTTATGATAAAAATGAATGGGAGTGTATTGGAGGAACAAAGGATGAAAAAATGACACATAGAGGAGTGGGGGTCAATATGGCTGTGGGTTAGAGCTTGGGGACCTGCCCTGAGTGAGTACATGTACTTTGGTTGCTGTCCAGAAAAAGAAAGTTTAGGACTTTGTTGGGGGCGAAAATGAATTTGACCCTAGGGGAGGAGCAAAGGAAGAAAAAATGCCACATCAAAAAATGCTGGTCAGTATGGCTGTGGATTAGAGCTTGGGGACCTACACTGAGGGAGTACATGCATTTTGGTGGCAGTTGGGCAAAGAAAATAATAAGGCTTGGATGAGGGAAAAAATGAACGGGAATCTATAGGGGGAACAAGGGATGAAAAAATGCCGTGAAGAGGAGTGTGGGTCAGAGCAACATTGGATTCATGGAAAAAAAAATCAGAATTTAACAAAGATTTTACTTAAACTGCACAATGGATCAAAAAGCTGTATACAAGCACACAATTCCCAATGAGTATAAACATTCTGGTGTCAGGAATGGTGTCAGGACAGTTAACTGCGGGACAAGTTAGCAGACAAAAATCTGACTGAAAAATAAGAAAATAAAAAAAAGAAGAAGATTGCTTTGCAACGCGCAATCACTAATAATAATAATAATAATAATAATAATAATAATAATAATTGTGATTATGATGATGAAAACTCCTTGCACATCTTAAGGATAAACAGCTGGTAATGATATAAATATGAATGTAAAACAAAACATTTTGCAGCAGTCAAAATTCACCTTAAGATATTGATCATGTCAGCTGCACAATTCATTATGAATGAAAAAGGTAGCAAACAGCAGACTTTACCTGCACAGTATGTGGGCATTGGAAGTGATACAGCTGGCTTGACGAGTCTGTAGACGTAGTAATTTCCTGGACAGGCTTTGACTTGGATTGGGTTTGACCTCAAGCTTGAAATGCACTGTTTACTGTCAAACAAATTACCGTAGGATCCATAGATGTCTCGGGTAACGATGCCGTCCTGTGGTACAGGATGAGATCCTCCAAGAAAAAGTGCAGTGCAACTACCACAAGCCATGTAACTCGCACACCAATCAGATTCAGGAATCTGAGCATTTTTTCCCCGAAGATACAGCCGATACCAGCCATTCCATTCAACAAAAGTGTCATCAGAACCTCTGTAGCCATTGTACCACACACTGTCTGGTTTTCTCCAGTCATTGTCAAGAACACTGTAGACATTGCAGGGGTCAAAAGTGATGTTTGCAGTGTCTGCTGTGGAAACAGAGCTTACTGTGAGAAACCTTTACTACTACCAGAATGTACAACAACACTGAAAAACTCAATATAAAAAATAAATAAATAAATGGACATCTTTAATGTTTTACAAATTTACTATTTTCTTTTTGCACCTGTGATTTGAAGTTTTGTTTTAATAACTGATTTATTTTTCATACTACTGGTTGACCAATGATTACAGAGTACTGTTGACATAATGATATTAACACTTGGTTATTTGTAAATACTGTTGTTGTAATCTGTGACACACCAGGTGGTTTGCTCCTTGTGGTTTGCCCCATGTGGTTTAGTGGTTGTGTGGAAGGATCAAACCCTTGACTTTGTGGGACCAATGTGCTATACAGCAGGGACCCACTGAGAGCTTCTTGAAATAAAAACAAAATCCTTTTTACTATTTCACTAAGAGCTTCTTGAACAAACAGAAGGGTGTTTTTCTTCTATTACCAGAAGTGCAAGACAAGGACTGGAGGAACAAGTTGAAATTCCTTTTCTTTTATTATTTTTATTTTAAAACTTAAATGGGGCAGTACCTTAAGAAGAGGCAAAACTTGAGACCAGAGACCATGGTTACTAGTTGAGTCAGAGCAACGTGCATGTGGCGGCATGAGCTCAAGACAGAGTGGAGAGCAGCGTGTGAGCATCCCTTAATTAAGGCACGCATAGCTGTCACATCTCAGCCATAATTACCCTGTCCTGACTTTCTGGCTCTCTCTAGGCCAGAGGTGGCCTAGCAGGCTGCCTGGAGGTTACATTAATCATAATATTTATAATATTTATTTAAGATCATTAAGCAATTCTCTGTGTTTTGACATCAAAGTATCCGCACACTGAGAACAGGAATATCAAGGGCACCCCTGGAAACCTACTAGTGTTCATAGATGCAGCAACACTGGTCACAGTTGTTGGGGCAACAGTTGGAGTGACGGTGTTCACATCTGGAGAAACAAGAATAAACTTATCAAAACAAACATGTAGGTACAATTTGGCAACACACACCAAAGCTAAAACAAACAAACAAAAAAATAATGAGACTACCTGCACAGTAAGCTCCAAGGCAGGGAGTTGGTTTAAACTCATAGACATAATAGTTTCCTGGACATGCTTTAAGTTGAATTGACATGGACCAGTAACAGGAGTTACTTTCTAAACTCCCACAGAGCCCACGAGTGACTATTCCATCTGCTATCTGAGGGTGAGCACCATTAAGATACAGAGCAATTGCACTACCACATGTGTTCATCTCAACACGGCTCTCTGGCATACGGACATTCATCCCATAATACAGCAGCCGATACCAGCCATTCCAGATGAAGTAGCCATCACAGATGTACAGTCCAGTTGCATTAGTGGCTCTCCAGGGTTGATCCAGAGCAGTGTAGTTGTTACAAGGATCATTAGTGGTATCTGGTGTTGAAATCAACAAAATATGCATCAGTGGTGTTTGTTTATGAAAGATGTTTACATACAGAATTCAGGCTTCTGACTCAGCTATCTGATCTCATATGAAACTGTGTAACTAATTCACACAAATCAAGCTCTGTTTACTGTTGTCTATTAAACCAAAACCACTTATCATGCATTACAATTGAGTAACACTTCCTATGAGTCCTGTATTCATAATGCATTGTAAATATAGTTAACATTACCAATGGCTTTAAGCTAGCTAACTGATTTTTGCATATATTTATAAACTCACCTTTAAAAACACTTGCATTCAACATGGTACCCACATATATCAAAATGTTCAGAACAATCTCAGCTCTCTCTATAATGAGGCAACTTTGACCTGGAGCACCATGTAAAGAGATAAATCAGTCCTAAAACTGAAAAATTCAATTCTGATTCTAGAATTGTTTGTGAAAACACAGCTTTACTCATGTGGACAAATTGATTTGGTGCTTGAAATGGGTTTATCAAAGTCTCAGATTCACAAATGTAGTGGAATGTATGGATAAAATAGTAAATAAATGTTAATCGCATTGCTAAGTTGCAAAACCACTGCAGCACCTTAAGCACCTGCAAGCTTTTTACACATCATTTACATCATTTCACATCACAACAATGAAGTGTGTTCGACATGATTGGTCAGATAATGAGTGTCCGTTGGTCAGTTTCATGCAAAATATAGACTGACACACAAATTCCCCAATTACAGGCGAGAGGCAGATGACAGACACACGTCAACCAGTTGCACACAGTGCACACATTGTTTTCAATGGCTCATAACTCTGGATATGAGTCACATGTTCGAATGGAAAAGGTGACTCTACAGATTCAGGAACTGTTCTGTGCTGTGGTATCACAAAGATATTAATGGAAACACTGAGAAACATCTAATATGATCCACCGCAGAAGGTTAAGCCTGCATTGGCAAATGGATCAACGTAGTATATCCACATCTGATACTCAGTGTGTAAGACAGAATCCAAAAAAATATGTTTAAAAACCTCACTTCACTTCAAGCCTGCAAAGAGCACGTTATGCTCTGTAAAAGATTACGTACTGGAGTGAAGATTCTCATTTTCATTGTTCATAATTTCAGGTTTACATGCTTCAGTGTTCCAAAAACACATTTTTCTCATACTTTTTATCTCTATTCGCCCTCTGTCTTAAATTCTTCTGTCTCTCCCAGTGAGCCCCATGTGCTCTGATTGGTCAGCTCATCCACCCTGTTCTGACTGGACAAACCACCTACAAACCTCTACACTTTCCACTAGTCTTGCAGTCTGCAGACAGACCTTTCTCTGCTGAGCAGCTGTAAACACCGTTGTGGTCAGTTCTGCCATATCAGTTTGATCCAGAATAGAGAATCTGATGCTGAAAGTCAGGTCAGCGTCTTCTCCACACAGCTACAGAACTCGTCATGTAAGGATTGCAGGTAGGCGAGCAATAAGGACTGTGTTACAAGATGGTGTCATCTTTTAACAAAGGAAAAGGGCTGAAATTCAAACAAGGCATTTCAGGCAGCTGAGAAAAGTGGGTTCTGTGGGAGAGAGTTTCTCCCTCTGGATGGAACTTTGAGCTTTGTGACTTTGCAGCCTGTTTACATGCACAAAAAACAAAAAAACAAAAATGGCAACACACTACAGGAAACGGAAAAAAATGGAAAAGCATAATAGGTCTCCTTTAAAAGACAAAAAAAAACAAACAAACAAACAAAAACATGCTTCATTTAAAGCCTGTAATGGCCTGGCATAAAGTGTTATAATGCATTATATTGTACACACCATGTACAATGTTCTTATGAACAGATATTATGGTGTTATGGAAGCTGACTTTATTCATATGCTCTTGCTTTATAAAGTGTTATGTATGTAATTCTAACTATTTAAGATTAATTCTACAATTATAATAATCTAGGCCTGGTATTATAAAACAATACATAGACCATAGTTCACCTCATAAATATACTTATAATGCAATATGAATGCAGAATTCATAGGAAGTGTAAGGTTTTATGCGGGACACGTCTGATGAATATAGACAAATTTTTGTCACTTAAATCTTATTAGTAGTCTGGATACTTTATTAGTCTTTATGCTTACTGAGCTTTACTTACTTGAATTTGTAGCACTGCTGTTTGTGATTGTGGTTAGCAGGACCAGAGTGACCCCTGGGGGAAAGATGCAGTATTATTCATACAGTTTGTGTGTGCAGTATGTATGCTTATAGGGCCGTTTTGATTACTTGATGAAAAACGATGAACATTTTTTTTTCCCCATGATGATACTTTATATTTTAAATTCTCCCACTGACCCTCCTTACAGTATCAAAAACAGTCACATACCCATTTATATGTATTTTTTTTTGCTACAGTATTTTTACATATGTAAAAATCCTCTTAAATTGTTCTACTTTAAAGTTCTAGTTTCATATATAATATATATATAATATATATATATATAATATATATCGTTATAAATATATATATATATATATATATATATATATATATATATATGTATATATATATATAAATTTGATTACTTCATTAATCTGTAGATCACTCGATTGCTATTATAATCATTAGTGACAGACAGAGTCCTGAACAATATAGAAACTCTTTATGCATGCTTTCACACAGTTGACGCAAATGTATACAATGTGAAATGTACATGCATCAGAATACTGGATGAAGAATAACATTACCACTATGAAAATTAAAAAAAAAGTTACAATAAAAAAAGTTAGACAAACACAAAAACTGTTGCTTTTTATAGTGAAAACTAGCTATAAAAAGCAAAACATTTTCATTATAAACCTCCTTTTCACTGCACAGAGGACAATACACAACCTACTATGCTGCCAACATCCCATTCACTGTGGGAGTTCCTGGAATCATATGCACAACCTTCCTTTCTCCAAACATAATGAACTGAATACTGGGGCATTACACGTCTTCAAAGGATACATGAATGGAGTGATAATGGAGTGAAGAAGATTTCAACAATACAATGACTCCAAACATACAGCCAAAATTACTCAGGACTGCTTTTTCATTTTCTTTCATTCTCATTACCGGGGAACCTTGTCAGGTTACATGATATCATGGGTTATTATCATTATCATTATTATTATCATAATTAGTAGTAGTAGTAGTAGTAGTAGTACATGTTACATGTAACATGTTTCTTCCTTTACTTCTTAAATAAATAAAACGTTCATTTTAAACATGTTTTTTGTTTGTTTCATAAGGTTCTCCTTGTCTGATAACATTCTATTTAAAGATCTAAAAGCATTCATTGTGTTCATTGTGACAAATGCACGGCAATAGACTGCAACAGAAAATTACACAAAAGCCTCCAACACTAAGTAAATTATCAAATTGATATGTGCGTAATTTGTTTGCTCTTTAAAATACCCAGCTGCAATGTTATCTCTTCTATCCTTATTAGAAATTTGAGAAATAGAAAATGCAACAAACTTCTAACAGTGAAATTTGGAGGTATGGAAAATTGTCCCTTTAGATTGACAATTGCCTCAGCTGCTCCCCATTTACTGTCAATGGTTCCAACACATATAAGTGTCTCAGCCTCAGATGTACATGGAGCATCTGATATCTTTTGCATGCTAATCTAGTGATTTTGGCATTTGCATTCATATTGGCTTTCTAAATATATTAAAATATCTTATACCTTTCTGAAATGTCCCGTCCTTCAACAAGCAGTTTCTCAGCCAGTGCAGCGTGTTTTGGACTTGGTCAAAACAGTTAATTTGAGGGTTTAATAACTGACAGGAGAAATTTAGCCTTGTTGGTTCTGTGATTATATATTCTGCCTACAACTAACACAGTGTACGAAACCATGGAAGTGCTGTCAGCTCACAGCAAGTCAGCCCTGGGTTCAATTCCCTGGCCAGGTGACCAGGATCCTTTCTGTGTGGAATTCGCACATTCTCCTCGTGTCTGTGTGGGTTTCTTCCTACAGTCCAAAGACATACAGTCAGGCCAATTGGAAATACCAAACTGCCCCTAGTTGTGAGCATGTGAATGTGTGTGTCTGCTCTGTGATGCACTTGTGACCTGTCCGGGGTGTCTCCTTCCTTCCACCCAATGTCTGCTGGGACAGATAGCTTCAGCACCCACCCCTATGCGAACCTTGTGGATAAACAGCTTAGGAGATTAATAAAATGTGTTGTAATACCATGTAGGCTGGCCTGATGATTGCTAAGTGTTCAGAAAATGAAAACATGAAAATGATATGCTTTTCTGACTTTGATTTTGCACACATCAGGGTACCTATGCTGCGAGTCTCTCATCCTTCTCACACGGCCTCTTAAAACGTTACTCAATGCTCATCTATTACATAAATATTAGATGTATCAGTGAAGTTACCACAACCAGGCATTCATTTTAACCAACAACATAAAGCTAATTCGTCAGGACAACTTTACTAATTATATGTAGTAGCTAGCTTTTACATTATGCAAGTGCTGTATTGACCCAAGTACAGTATCAATTGAGTTAATTGTTAACTCGGATTTACAGAACACTGCTAACCAAAGTAGAGTAAATAGCCAAGTCAAATAACTAAAAATGTAGTAAATAACGTCCAGCAGTTGGATAAGATCAATGGTTGAAAAATGAATGATAGCTCGTGTCACTCAATATTGCATTTGTTTAGGGGTGAAAGCCCAACCCATCAATAAAAGGAGCCAATCAGCTTGCTTGTAATTTTACAATTGGGAAAAGACTCCATACCCCTTTCTTGTGGACAAATGAACATCTGCAGTAGCCAGAAGAACCTGATTTTTTGTACTTTATTGGAGCCAATAACTATTTACGTGATTTTATTTAGCCTGTGATTTCAAAGGTGTTGTTGAAATGTTAATGTTACTTGGAAATAGACAGGAAATAACTTCCCAGGGCATTTCGCCAAGATGTGCTGCAGAGTGAGCAGATTTTCTTATAAGAACTTTGTACTTGCTTTCTCCCTCCACCTCCCCTTGAGCTGTATTCATGTAGAAGCAAAATTGATACCGAAAAGTACATCAAAATATATTTGAGCGAGCATACCTGGGCGCACAGCCAAAATATAACCCATGTGTGGGAAACACTGCAATTAGCTGGTATTTATCATGTTAATTGCAATGCATTTTCTCTTGGAATTTATTGACAATAAGAAGATCTGTTACAGCCTTTTCTATTACACAGGGTCTGCCCTTATTATCATTTCTCTTTTGGCTTTCTTTACTGGCTCTCAGACAAAGACAAATCTTTACCGTTACCACCGCAATCCATGTTGCACTGAGCCACTTGGAGCACCGGGGCAGCTATGTAAGGATGCTTTTCATTGACTATAGCTCTGCGTTCAATACAATCATTCCAAGCATTCTAGCAAGTAAGCTGCTTGAGCTGGGCTTCTCCCTCCCAATTTGCACCTGGATTTATAACTTTCTCACAATATCACTCACACAGTGTTTAATTAGGCTCCCACCTCTCCTCCTCCATCTCACTAAGCATTGGTGCACAATGTTTTACTCCCTCTACACCTATGACTATTCACCAGCTCACCCATCCAACACCCTTATTTAGTTTGCTGATGACACTACCATCATCAGGCTCATCTTAGAGAGATGAGTCAGCATGCAGGGATGAGATGTACAGACTGTCAGAGTGACCACAAAGAGACCACAAAGACCAAAGAAATCATACTGGACTTCAGGAGGAAACGTGAAGCAGACCTAGTCCCTCTCTGTCTGAAGGGGGTTTGTGTAGAGAGGGTGCAGAATTTTAAATTATTGGGAGTCCTTATCTCTGAGGATTTGTCCTGGTTGGCCAACACTATAGCAACTGTCAAGAGAGCACAGCAGAGACTCCATTTTCTGAGGGTTCTCAGGAAGAACAACATGGAGAAAAAGCTGTGGGTGGCCATTTACAGAGCCACCACTGAGAGCATTTTATTATTTACTGTATCTCAGTATGGTATGCAGGCTGCTTTGCTGCAGACAAGAAGGCATTGCAGAGGGTGGTGAAAATGGCAGAGAAAATCACTGACTGCCCGCTGCCCTCCCTAGAGGATATTGCCACCTCAAGCTACCTTACCCGGGCTCCCAATATTATCAAAGTCTCCACACACCCTCCACTTCGAGCTGTTGCCCTCTGGCAGGCGCTACAGGCTGGCCAAAACACCTCCAGAATCAGATAAAGCTTCTTACCCAGGGCCTTTAAACACATTAAACACACAAAAACACTGAACTCCTATCTCCACATGACCCATGCTGCTAAATCCTACACTTTATCTAACTGTGTGCAATGCAACATTATTGTATAGGTCGTTGTATATATTTATCTTGTAGAATGTTGGGTGTTATTTTGAATGTTGTGTTGTATTGCTTAGTGGCTTCTTCTTGAATGTTTTGTGCTGTATTGAATATCCTGTACTTTTATTTTTTTTGCACCAAGATGAGTGGCACTTTTGATTTTGTCGTAAGCAGAGCTTACAATGACAATAAAGTCATTTAATTCAATAAAATTAAAATGATAGATTCAATGTCAACGATCCTTTACTCTGAATGCTCATAAATGTGCAACTTTTTCTATCAAATTGAGCTCGTTTCAAAATGTGCCATGTTGCAAAAAGGTTAGATTGCAGACATTTCTGTAGTATTTTAGTTTATGGTAAGTAACTAGTACTTAACAGGTCAATATGTAATGCTTACAAGTCATTTTCTGAAGCATATTTTGCATGTACATAGTATGTGCCAGGTATGCACAGCAGTACTTATTCTGAATTTAATGGTAAATATGTAGTATTTACTTTTGTGCTACTTTGCAATTTCAATATATATGTACACAGTAATGTGAGAAATACAAGATATTTAATGCAAGAAGTTAGTACTTTAAACTGCCTACGCTGTAGAGGAGAGTGATTCTAGAAACAGGTGACAAAAGTTTCCAAATTCGCAGGGTACCTACTACTGAGTACTCAGTAAGTACCTATAGCATGCACCCACCCCCTGAGCCCCAGTGACAGCCGAGAGAGCCAGCAGGAAGTGGGGCCCGAACTCTGAGCGGGGACGAAGCCCAGTAAGGATGGCAGGGAAAGAAGAACCATGAGTGAGTGGGGGACAGAGCAAAAGACCCGAGCCCTGCCTTCTGGGTTCCACCTCTAGTCCTGCAGCGAGGTCACTTTACCTTGCCTTACGTTCGACCCGGGCAGCTGAGCTGCGGAACAGGGTCAGTGACAAGGATGCAGATCAATGAGCTCTCGTTCCCTCTCGGAACAGAGAGAGATAGAGAGGGATGAGCAGCAGTGAAAGACTGAAGACCAAAGAGCTAAAAAGCTCAAGTGAAAAAAGGACTGAAAAGTCTAGTTTGAAGCCACTGAAAAGTGGCCAGCTTAGATTTGGCTTTGGTTGTGGTTTTGTTTTGCTTTGTTTGTGTTTGGTGAGAAAATTAAAGTAAATGGCTGCTATAACCTGGAAAACTGCTCACTTAATTTTACTGTCCCTTTACCAAGATATTACAATGAACTTACCAGTATGCAAAGAAAACTTGTTTAAACGTTGCTTTAAACGTTCATGTAGATAATCGTGTACCTTTGCTCAACATAAATGGAATATGTTACATCAGCATAATTAGTATGTGTAAGTACTTAATTAACTTAAGTTGATGTATTGTTTCATTTGAGGGGACCAATTTTACACATTTGAATCACGTACATTCAAACGTTTTTTCAGTGTTCAGCTCTTCGGCTCTTCATTACAACATCAACACATCTAAATGAGGCATTTACAGGGCTTTGGGACTTGGTTGTAAAAGACAGAATGAAACCAGCTGCATTTGGCCCACACAAGGTAATCAGACAAGCCAAATACACCATAAAAGCCTGACATCTGTGTTGATCCTTTTTTCACACTAGAAGATCTGAGCCAAATTCTACCAAATCTTTCTAATGACACATTATGTCAAAAAAATATATAAATAAATAAAAAAATAAATAGACATGACATTTAGGCTACAAATTCAACCTTATTTTATTGCATAATTTCACCGATATCGATATATGCTGTCATCGTTAATGTATGTGTGCCTCAACACGCTCCCACAGCTTGTTCACTGGATGTTGAGCAGCATTGTCAGTCTATACTAGAAAGAGATCTCAATACTGTAGAGCAAAAACTGTAACTTATAAACCATAAACCCTGCATATAGCATCATTATGCTAAAAGCCAATGTGTCACTCATACACAGTAATGATCTGATCTTAAAATTTAATTTTCTGCTACTTGAGAAGCCCATCTATTCAGCATGTGTGTGTGTGTGTGTGTATATATATATATATATATATATATATATATATATATATATATATATATATATATATATATATATATCATACCTACTAGTACACACATGTATCAATGTATGTGTACATCTATGTATTTATATAGTGATGATGCCTACAGAGTTTTTTTTTTGTTTTTTTGTTTTTTTTTTCATTACAATCATTGGTGAACAAATTCTGATTGTAATTTATCAATGCATTCAGTAAATAATCAGCAAAATTAAAATAAAAATAAAAAAATCACACAACATTGAACAATTTAGCACCTTTGATTTCTCCAACTGAGCTCTTTTGCTAAATTTGCTTAAGGCAGTAAGATGACAACATAGAAAAAGATCCAACATTTTCCACAGGTAACATTCTTGCAATTAGACAAACGAAGCACAATAACCATTCATTTTTAAAGCAAAAGCAATCATTAAGTACAACCTGACAACTGCATTAATGAGCAGATTCTGGAATGAAATTCTGAAACATTTCATTTGCACTTTTCCTCTTTCATTTTTCTACAATCGCAAAGAAAATTAAAAAAGTACTCACATGTGAAAAAGTTTATTATATCTCTATTCATTGTTAATAATCCTTTGCTCCTAAATTCTCCATCAGGTGAGAAGTATGTTGTCTAGCTTTCTCTGAAGTCTTCTCTTGATGTGCTCAATATATGTTATTCATTTGCATTTTTTGCTTCCGTTAGAGACTGGGGTTTTTCTATTTGGCTGACAGCCAATCAGCTGTTGAATAAACAAACTATGTGGTTTTGAAAATGAGATGCTGCTGGTTTGATGTGCATTTTCTACAGAGGACACTATTCTGTGATACACACGACATTCACAAATGAGGTAGCTAGGCTTGGTCTCAACTCAGAAGGTGTATTATGACTAATTTCAGCACACATTTACATAACTGTTGGGAATGGCCATTGACTTATACCATATTACAGTGCTTTTTTATGGAGTTCATGCAAAGAAGAATAGTTGTCATATTTACTATTAGCTCCCTTCCACCCTACCCTTACTATTTATGGCCACTTTATTAAATGTATGTATAATATTCCATGAATCCTGTGCACATGAGGCATTTTGCTGCTAACAATTTAGCCTACATTGCTAACTGTATATGTCTCAATATACTTAAAGCTTACTAATAAAACTTACAAGCCTTTATATTAATGTCATATGTCTACCACTATCAATCTATTCCTATAATGACAAATAAAGTCTTTGTCTGTTTAGTCGTAATGCACTCTGCAAGCTAGGACTGATTTCTTTGTCATTGATAATAAACCATGACATAATATAATATATTAGGCTAACAATTCATAATGCAGAATAAACATAAAGTATAACTGATTTTTATAAATATTTACAGCCATGTTTATCCTGCCTTACAAATGCATTAAAATGGAAAAAAACATCATATAAAGCATGTACTGGAACATGTCTTTGCAAGCCTAAAGCAAAGTAACACCATTTCTATATTGGAGACTGGGGGGAAATACCCCCTTAAGAACAGCATCCGATTACTGTTAGCCCAAACCCTATCTCTGTATGAGTTTATCATGTATATGACGATGGTGCATAAACCTATGCTACATTAGAGGAAATAAACTGCACTAGCAGTCCTTTTTTGTAGCACAAAAATACATAAATAAATATATGAATTATATCATCAGCATGTCTTAATGATAAAGCTGGCTTTACGACTGTGAACTAACATGCAGAGTCAGATGCACTTTTGTTACAGTATGATACAGCTCAATACCCAATTACTAACCATTTGCCAACTTGCCCCTTTTGGTTTTTAAAGGGCATTTGCAGATGTAATCGATGGTGATGGCTTGTGTACATTAATACGGGCCAGCAGATTCTCCCTTTCTCACATACTTAAATTTGTGGTCTGCAGTGAATGCAAGGTGTACCTTGAAGTTATGCTTTACCTCAACATCCAGTGTTAAACTGAATTGAGTATGATGACAGAAGCTGTAGTCACTTCTATTTACTTGGAAATTCATATAAAACAACATAAATTATCTCTCTATAGGCTGGCGTTTTGCAGTATTAATAATCCTTTTCCTTCTTAACCCTTGACCAAAGTTTTATTACAGACTTCTATAACTTCTATAAATTCTATAGTAAAAATAGTTCAACCAGTTTGCATTGAAGTTCCTGTAGTTACTGAATAATAAGGTATTTAGCCTGGGATTTTAAGGGGTCAGTGTTTTCAGTTCACATCGCATGTCACATAGCATTGTATTTGCATTTTGTTCTGTCAGTAGAGTCTGGGGGTTTTGCATTTGACAGCCAACCAATCAGCTTTTCTATAAACAAACAATGTGGTTTTGAAAATGTAATTTTCTGCTTGTTTGTTGTGTGTTTTATACAGAGGACTCTATTCGGTGATCTAGGAGTAGGAGTAGGAGTTCTTGCTAGGCCTTGTTTCTGTGCAGGGTGTGTCAGTGTTTTTCCCATTGTAATATAAAAGTGACCTTTCTCCTCCAGCACTGGCCCCTGTATGAGTTTTCTAGGCATGTAAAACCCTTTCTGTGAGGGAATCAGTCATCATTTCTTATTGCATCATTAAGGTTATGTTGCTTTTGCAGGAAACCCAGTCACCAGCTGTGAGTCTACTGCACTCTGTTTGTAGCACTCAATTAGTTTTAACTGGATGAGGTACCACTGTCAGCAATACCCCCTAACCTGGAGGACCAGAAGGCTGGACCTCTAACCATTGAGCTTCTTGGTATGAGAAACTTGGCTACAACTGTTACCAAACCTACCTAGCATAGCTCGATAAAACAGTGAAGTACTTAAACCTCCACACTTTTTGTTGAACTCTATCCTCCCTTAAGGATAGATTGTCTAAGTAGACTACGGAGCACTCCTGTAAATTGCTTTGGATAAGAACATCTGCTCAATGCTGTAAAGATATATGTTAAACAAAGCTTATTGCAGCAACTAAAACACACCTTAAAACAATGATTATATCAGCTTTATATTCACTATGAGTAATCAAAATAGGACATAGCAGATTTTACCTGCACAGTATTTGGGCATTGTAATTGGTAACACTTTACAATACTGTTTTATAGTTAATAAGTAACTAATCAGGCTAAGTAGGAATGAATGAGTAGTGCTGCATTAACACACAAGTAATTACTATTAACTACCAAGGACTACTAGTTAACTTGTCAGTAGGTAATAGTGAACTAATGATTAGGGTAGTTCACTATTAACTAAACACGAACTACTGAGTCTCATAGAGAATTACATAGTAACTATGGTTTCTTACAATAACTACTCATACATGTAACATTAATCGCTCAATAGCTAAAACTATTGCAATGTACTTCTAACAGTATTGAAATGCACTAAACAAAAATTATATCCTCCATTATTATTTACAGAGACAGGTTTCCTCTGAGAAGGCTCATGGCATCGCACCACACTGCACTGACTGGTGTCCCTCCTGTGCTTGTTTTGATCAGAAATCTTAAAAGACAAATATCCATCTTCATATTTGGTAGGAAGAACCAATTTGCACATCAACCTTTAAATGGGACAACTGCTAAAACTGTACAGTATTCAGTAGATCAGTCTGCTCACCTCTCATCTTTAGACAAGAAGGGCTTACAGAGATATATGGTTGTGTATATGTACTACTTTCAAATTAACTTGGTTCTAAATATTACCAAGTGATTATGTAATTACTGTTAGATGAATGAATGAATAAGGTGTTGCTGTTCATCAAAATGAGTTATAGATCTTCAGGAGTAACATTATGAAGTGAAACACATGGTTATATGGTTATAACTCATTATTAATGAACAAGGAGTTAATGATGATCTAGAACAGTATTATAAAATTAAACACTTGGTAACTCATAATTAATTAATAGGAGTCGATGATCTAGACAGTATTATAAAGTGAAACATGGAAACTCATTATCAATGAACTAGGAGTTAATAATGATCTAAAACAGTATTATAAAGTGAAACACATGGTAACTCATTATTAATGAACTAGAAGTTAATGATGATCTAGAACAGTATTATAAAGTGAAACACATGGTAACTCATTACTAATGAACTAGGAGTTAATGATGATCTAAAACAGTAAAATAAAGTGAAACACATGATAACTCATTACTAATAAACTAGGAGTTAATAATGATCTAAAATAGTATTATAAAGTGAAACACATGGTAACTCATTACTAATGAACTAGGAGTTAATTATGATCTAAAACAGTAAAATAAAGTGAAACACATGGTAACTCATTACTAATGAACTAGGAGTTAATGATGATCTAGAACAGTATTATAAAGTGAAACACATGGTAGCTCATTATTAATGAACTTCATGTGTGGCTTCCAGACCAAAAATAATAAAAATTCATTTTAATGTGATAAAAATCATTTTATTCCTTATAATCATACAGGCCTTAATCATACAGAGTTTTTTTTTGTTTGTTTGTTTGTTTGTTTGTTTGTTTGGTATGAGACCAATACATGTAAATGAGCTCTGTTCAGATTGGTTGCCAATTTTTGTGTTTCATTCAGAAAGCAGTTGGGAAGTTGGAACACTTGAAAGGTCAATGTGAATTGGCAGAGTTAAACTGCTGTAGACTGAAAGGGCACATGTATGTACCTGTAAATATTTTAGATTTTCATGATTTACATACTACATAAAAAAAACAAGCAAATGATTTTTGAAGAACTTATTTCTAGACATTTTTTGTTTGTTTTACGTAAGTTTTATTACAAGAAATTGTCTCACTATGTTGGCAAACAATTTCTCATGTTTAAAGAAATAATGCTTGAAGCAAAATTATTTGCCAATACAGTGATTTTTTTTTTTTCTTAATACAAATAACCAACTAAATAAATAACAAACAGCTATATTTACACAATATATAGAGAGGGATCCAGAAGTCTTAGACCACATTAAAAATCTAGAATTTCCTCATTTAAACCTGCAAATAACCAAATGTGTTCGTTTTGGGGAAAAAAAAAAAGTTATGGGAAGTGAAATGATGAAGAAATATTTAAGATTCTGCACTATTTGTAGGCCACAATAAATTTTGCGCTTTAAAGAGTTAATGCCAACTGATGAGATGATAATATCTTTTGTAATGAAAAACACTAAATTAGAAATGAATGTACTTTTGGACCTCACTGTTTTGTGTTTTGAAATAGTTTATATAACACCAGTGCATACAGTATATGTCATGGCGGCCCCACCTGAGTGCAAAGATCACTTTGGACCATGACAGTGGAGTTTGAATGGGGCATGTGTTGAGAGATATTATATCTTAGTAGGGAGGGTCCCTATCAGCTTGGGTCACTCTGTGTGTGTGTGTGTGTTGCTGTTGACTTGTAGTTTTGTTGTAATTTTAAAGATTTGAAAAAGGTGTTATATAAATGAAATAATTGTTATTATTATAGCCTAATGTTATTATTATGGTCCAAAACAAGTACAGTACTTGCACAAGAGTTACTGCAGTAAGGTGGACTCACAGACTCATAAGGTCAATAGATAATTAGGCATACTTTTTCAAAATAAAGGCGGATGATGGAACCCTTCTGGGCCTTCAACCTCCTTTCTTATTTGATCTTTATTCAGTTTATTATTTACAAAAGAATTGAACAAATGTCAAGAAATTGCTTTTAGAATTGCAGTTTTAGTAAAATACACATGTCAGATGTTTGCTGGCCATTTATGTTTAATTTCTATAGACTATAAATGCAAATACAAATAGACATGAACAAAAAAGTAAAGTGTGCATTAAAAAATGTTTTAACCCTTAGATTAAACAAAAACATTTAGATTGATCATTAGCCTTTGCTAACACATGTGAATTTTTTTCATAAAAGGTTTTATGGTTAGCTTAATAAAAATCAGCAAAAATAAATTGTTCCACTTACAAAGTAATATGTGTGTGTGTGTTTATTTGTTTTCTTTTTTTTATTGATTAGTTACATAAAACAAGTCAAAGGTTTTAAAAAACTGTACTTCATGTCTACATTTATATTCATTATATGTTTATTTATGTTTTTGTTATTAATATGAAGGCTTACAACCTTAAACTTTTAAATATACACAGTTAATTATATGGTAAATAAGTCAATATTGATTAAATAATCAAAACAGTGTTAGGAAAAATGTACTGCTAAATAAAAAAAAGGTATAGGCCTACAAATGTACTCTTGAAACAGAAGCGTAAATATTCAAACAAGGCACAACAAAATGGCAACAAAATTGTTCCAAACTCCAACAACAAATGTATGTATTTTTTACTGTGAATTTTAACACTGGAATAATATTTTTAATATTTTTTCTTCTTTTTTATTTGAATATTTAGGAATCTTATTGCAGTAGACTTAATTGTAGATTTGAATATGGATGGAGATGGTGATGGAGTTCTGTTCTATCTCCTCTGGCTGTATGTTTGTAGCTGCTTGCATGAATTTAAAGTGACATGCATTCATCCACTTCCTGTACTGTTGTCTGACCTGGAAGTAGATCATATATAGAGAGTGCAGGTGGTCAATGGGGCTAGAACAGAGGAACCACACTCAAACTAAACAGAACCTGAAGAACTGCAGCAAAGGCCTGGAAGAGCATCACCAGCAAGGAAACCTAGCGTCTGGTGATGTCCGTGGGTTTCAGACTTCCAGATGTCATTGACTTATTTGCAACCAAGCATTAAAATGACATTTTTATGTATGATAGTGTTGTTTATTAAATAGTGATGATGTGAAGATGATGAAGAGGTCTCCGCTGACACCATCTTGCTTGTATAAGATGTTTATTACAAAGTAAAACAGTATCATATCAAGCACTATAAAGTACCTGAGAGGGGATTCGTGCCAATTTTGAAGTGTCCCCTCCAGAACAGTATAACCAACTGCTTATATAGGGTGGTTGTTGTTGAAAAAGGAAACAGAACATATGGTCCTTTTTAAAATGATCTCATCTATCTGGAACTAAGAGAGGAAGGGAGTGGATGAGAAAGGGGCCCATTCCCTATGGGACCTTTGGACCAGGGGCCCCCTAATTTAAACATTCCAAACCTGCAAAAACAGATAACACATGGAACTCCAGATACCACAATAGTTCTTCTAATTACTTCTAAGCCCCTAAAAGGTATGAAAATGGTTGAAATTTCTACCCTGTTCACTTGATTGAAAAATAAATAATAATAATAATAATAATAATAAAAAAAAATAAAACCTCTTAGTTTGAACATGTGATATGTCATCTTGGTACTATTTTTTAATTACATGTAGGGTTTAAATGATCTGCGTATCATTGCATTCAGATTTTATTTACATTTTGCACAGCATCCCAACATTTTGGGAAAAGCATTGTACAACAGTCAATGACTGACCTCTTGGTTGAAGACACAGTGGACCAGGAAGATGGAGTTGAGAAACAGGAAGACAATCTCCAACACCTTACTGCCCTGTGTGAAGAACCCCAGGATCCAGGGACAACCGAGGATGACAAACTGCACCAGGGTTTTGAAGACAAGAATTCTACAGAGAGAGAGAGAGTGAGAGAGAGAGCGAGTTAGAGAAAGTGAAATTTGTAATTCTGTTTATGTGTGTTTGCTTTTTCTTCTATAATTTAATGTATATATTTTAACACAAGAATGTTTCAAATGTGCCAGAAAGTGACAGTAAGATGTGTGTTTGTTACTTGATTTCTTTGATTTTGGAATGTTCACTGTTCAGTCCTGCCATGGTGGTTCTCAGAGTAATGATGATGGCCATGAAAAGTATTAGGTTGAGCTGCAAATGTGGTGAGTAATTACTGAATTAAAATCTGAACTTAAATACATATTTCTTGAATAAGTAAGTGTAGTATGATATGTTTCACAAAATCACACAAATCAGAATTTTGAAAATGTGCATAAAAAAGCATAAAAAACATGCTTGGAAAAGCCAGAAATTTGAGCAAAAAAGAATAGGGTGGAAACATTTATCAATAAATAAGATATGTAAGAAATGATAATGGAAAAAAATATCTCTGAACTGTTAGAGCTACAGCCATATACAGCTGGCCAAGGGCTGTCAATACTGCTCTGCTGAGAGCTAATAAAGGTTCAAATCCCCGCATTGAATACACTGTATATGGCACAAGTACATTATGTCATTTTCAAGAGTTTACACAAAACAGTAGTTCATGAAAATTTGATGAGGTTTGTATAGTGTAGTTTGTAATACAACCTCATTTCCAAAAAAGTTGGGATGCTGTGCAAAATGTACATAAAAACAAAATTCAACGATGTTTCAAGATGACCAATTGCTGTAGTTTTGAAAGTGAAATGTTTGTTTGATGTAGGATTTCTGCTGCTCAACAGTTCAGGGTCTCCTTTGTTATATTTAATGTGCCAAATGTTGTCAATGGGCAACAGGTCTGGACTGCAGGCAGGTCAGTTTAGCACCCGGAATCTTTTAATATAGAGCAATGCTGTTGTAATACATGCAGAATGGCATTGTCTAGCTGAAATAAGCAAAGCGTTCTCTGAAAAAGACGTCATCTGGATGGCAGCATATGTTGCCAAAACATGTACATATTGTTCAGCATTAATGGTGCCTTCCCAGATGTGCCAGTCACCCATGCCATGTGCACTAATGCACCCCTATACCATCATAAATACTGGCTTTTGAACTGTGCACTGGTAACATGGTGAGTGGTCTTTAGCCCAGAGGACACAGTGTCCATGATTTCCAAAAAATTCAAATGTTGATTCATCGGACCACAGGACACTTTTCCATTTCCCCTCAGTCCATTTTAAATGAGCTTGGGCCCAGAAAAGGTGGCAGCATTCCTGAATTTCCTCTTTGCATTTTAGAGTTTTAGCTTGCATTTGTGGATGCAGTCCCAAATTGTTTTCACAGACAGTGGTTTTCAGAAGTGTTTCTGAGCCCTTGCAGTGATTTCCACAACAGAATCCCAGAGTCTGTTTTTAATGCAGTGCCGTCTGAAGGCCCAAAGATCACGGCCAGCAAAAACTGGTTTTTGGCATTGCCTCTTACATCCAGAGATTTCTCCAGATTCTCTGAATCTTTTAATGTTATTATGTACTGTAGATGATGAAAAGCAAAAGTTCTTTTCTGTTTTACATTGAAAAACTCTATTCTTGAATTGTTGCACTGTATGATCATGCAGTCTTTCACAGAGTGGTGAACCCTTCCTCATCTTTACTTCTGAAAGACTCAGCCTCTCTGAGATGCTCTTTTTATACCCAATCATGTTATTGACCTGTTGCCAATCAACCACCAGTTTTTTTAAACATTACACTACTTTACCAGCCTTTTGTTGCCCCATCCCAACTTTTCTGGAACGTGTTGCTGGCATCAAATTCAAAATGGGCAAATATTAATTCTCTGTTTCAACATTTGATATATTGTCTCTGATATGTTGTCTGTAGGATGGATATATCAGAACTTACTGTAAGAATAAAACATACAGGACCCAGAGAACTCCACATAAAGTTCCTGTCTGTCTTAATCCAGCACCTGTACAGGGAGAACATGGACTCAACACTAAAACATAAGCTTTTTTTGTTCATAAACCTTTAAACACAGATATTGTAATTAAGTACATTTCTGTGTTAACTAGATACTATTAAGAAGTTAACTAAAAGCCATCTGATGAAACTCTGCCCACTCTCCACACTCACTGTTCACTGCCATAACCATCAGGAAACAGTCCAACAGACACGCCCACCACAGTCAGAGGAATGACGTATCCAATCACTAGCAGATATTTCCAGCTAAGCACCTCCTTCTGCTTTGATCTGATCTTTGTGAGGTTCTTCACTGAGAGGAAGAGCAGCACACCTTCATTGAACATCCACACAAAAGCAGAGAGAAAGAGGAAGTGAAGAACACCTGCCAGTACTACGCAAGCCAACTGAAGAGAGAGAGAGAGAGAGAGAGAGAGAGAGAGAGAGAGAGAGAGAGAGAGATTAATTTATTCAACTTTAATGTTATCATCTTGGAATCCATTGAATGTAACTTATTAACTTATTATCATCATCAGTATGAGATCAAAGAAAATGACAACAGCTCACCTTATTAGTCTGTATGTACTCCAAGAAACTCTGTGTGAGCAGGAAGATGAAGTGAGCCAGAAGCAGGTTTAAGCTTAAGTTTATCCGAGCAGTGTTGTTTACTCTTGGGTTCCGTCGACAAAGGGCAAAGGTCAACAGAGCCAAACTCAGAAACCCCAGACCTACTGCCACGGCCACTGTGTTGAGCAGCTCCAAGGACAGGTCCCCCTGGAATTTAGTAAAGTTGTCATAATTGTTTTGACACCCCTACATATCCTAAGACTTACTTTGCAGTTTTTTAAACATTACATTTGTAATTTGTAACATTACATTGAAATTTAGATGTTCATATGTCATTATCATATAGATAGATAGATAGATAGATAAGAGTAAAACAAGACCAAAATAAACAGGAGCAAAGTATTGTCATACGCTATTTACAGATGCATAAACAGAAAGTAAAGATAAATAATAAAATATACTAAAGAAACAATAAAACTAAATGTGCAGTACAAAAATAAGAAGTAAATTGCATAAATACTATGCAGTTGACAATGCAGTGGTGCATGTCCCCTCCAGTGAATGAACTAGTGACTGTGTACTGTAAATGATAACCTATGTTATCAGTTGTGCAATATGAAATTTATGGATGCATAAACAAAGTGACAGTGCATAGTAATATGAGTGGAGAGTTGTAGTAATGTCCCAGTTGGTGCCCAGTGAGCCTGTCCTGTCAGTGGCTCATTATACACTAATGTCCCTGCTCACATGCCACTTTCTGTGCAAGGCAAATTAGCCTATGGCCAGTTCATCATGGCACTGTCTCCAACTGAGCTACACATCAACATATAGCTGGCCCAACCACATGATTTGCAACAGCCCTGGAGGAGGCACTAGGGAAAGGGTTGTTGTCAGCAGCTTTGTGGTGTGTGGATACGGTCAGTCCTACAGTTAGAGCTGTGGAAGAGTCATGTGTGTCACCACTGTTGGCATGGGTGCAGCTGATGAAGGAAATTGTCTGTAGACTGGCCATATCCACTGCCACATCACTAGGGATGTGGGGCTGCTGGTGCTGCAGTCTATTTATTTATGTCTCACTTTATTTGGATAGTCCACTATAGTTCCCTATAGATTAACTACAGATGTTTAAATTGTTAACAAACTACCTGTTGAAGCTCAGTTGATTCTAAAAAGTGGTGGGGTTAGGGTTAGGATTTGGACCAGGGTTTGGGCTTGGGTTTAGGTTTTGGGTTGAGCTTATTAAGGTTAGGGTTAGGATTAGAGCAGGTTTAAAGTTTTAAATTATGATCAATTTAGCTGATATTTAGTTGAATGTAACTTAAAAGTAAATTTAGTTTCTACAAACAATCTAAAGTGGGCTATCCAAATAAAGTGTTATCTTTATTTACAATGTATTTTAGATGAATATATGATATTGCTGTTTTATTTTTGCAGTTGCTATTTGTTCTGTCCAACATACCATTACTAAATCAAAAGAAAAATTATGAACTTTTATTGTATCTGTTGCGTCAGGAACAGGAATTGAACTCATCTAAAACAAGCTAATATTAGGAACCCATTTAACAACAGGATATCTGACATCATTAACTTTGAAATAACAGTTAATCATGTTAATTTTTTTTTTGATGAAGTGATTATGAACCTGTAACAACATTTCAACAAATTACAACTAATCTAAACCTTTACAATTTATTTAAAAGTTAAAAGAAGAATTTCATAGAATCCATATGGAAACCTACTTGGAGTGGTGGGCAATTCAGGGCTAATGGTCACCGCTGCTGTGGTGGAGATTGGCCTGATGCTCACATCTGAAAAATAGAATTATAGAATAAACTCATATAATGCTGCAGAAAACATAAACCAGAGTAAATATATACAGATTTCTTGAACATGTGACATTATCATTAAAACCTATGATATAGTGAGAGCAGCTGTTAATGTATTTTATCAGTGACTGTGTTCTGCCTAATGTAGCGTATTTGGCTATTTTTAATTTCTAAACTGATCTGAACTTTCTGGACAAAGCCGAACTTTTTTATTACTTCATGGACAAACAATTTCTCCAGGTGTCTCACCTTCTTTATGGTGTTACTGTGTGAGAGGGACGCATCTGGCCTCAAGATGACCAGATGACCCTGAGTTACAGTGTTAATGAATCACCTTGCAAAATCCCTTTTTAAACACTCTGAGGAGACTTTTGGACCTAACCAGAATAAATTCTGCACCAAACTAAAGTTTTATGCCTGGAGTCCCTCCATGAGGGTTCCTCTATCTATCTACTCCCCCTTTGTACACATCTGCAAACAGCTGTCATTCATTCTTTGGACCCTTTGCAAGAGCAAACCAAATGACTCTCCTTTCTTAATCTAACTGGGAAAGTAACTCTGTCCCTGTTGAACTGTGAATAAATACTAAGACTCCCTACAATTTGGTAATTATTTTATGATTCTTGAATTGTAACCCAGTTTCATTAATCAAGATTAGCGAGCTGATCTTTGATCATTTTTAGCTGTTTTAATTCTCCTAGAAATACCCCCATGTTACGAAATCCATATGTTTCTTTTGAATCGCAGTTCCAACCTCATATATCTGCCTTTGTTTCAGGTCTTCATGTAGTTTTTCTTTTCCTTTGGAGGTAGAGCTGACTAACATTTGTAGTTTGTGTGACTACATAGATTTAAAGCATAATAGAAGTAAATAGTGCCATCATACCTACAGAAATATTCATAATAACTAGATAATGTACTCAACATTTGTTATTATATTCTGTAACTTCATTACACTTAAGCATTGTTTAGAAATGTTAGTTTTGGTTAATACTAACTTTGGAATTATGTTCTTCTTTTAGAAAAATCATATTCTTTTTTTTCTGTTAATCATGTTTCTATTTAACAGTAGTGTGAAATTAGGATACATTTAGATGCAATTATCTGTGAGCTCAGTATGTTTTATAGTACTACTGAATCAGTAATGTTTTTATATAAGAAATTGCATGCTTATAATGTTATTTTCCTTTAGCGGGAACATCATTCAGAAGTTATTTTGTGACAAAACTTGAGCAGCCTTGCAGACAAAGAAATTGCATATTCATTAATAATTGAGTGTGAAATCCCTTTTCCCCACCTTAACTCACAAAAGTACTTTGCTTAAAAACAGTGTAACAAAGGAAATGAGAGAGAGTTTGAGTAAAGAGGAGAGACATGTGACCATGAACAACAACAAGCCCTCTCCAAAAGAAAAGCACTTTGATCTGCAGATTATTGTTGTTTCATGTCTTAGTTTGTGGCCTTTATTCAGTCAGTTTATTTATTTTTTTTTCATTTACTCTGTAATCTTGAAGTGATTTGGTATGTAGGTTAAAAAGTTCTTCTGGAGACCTACTGAGAGCAGTAGTCAGTTCAGTGCTTACGGTCACCGGTGTAGTGGTAGTGATTGACGTAACGGTGCTCACATCTGGAAAGAATAAATGAGTAAATAAAAATTAACAACAAACATTGAAAAAAAATATCTCTAGCTACAATAAAGGTTTTCAGATTATTTTTTGTTTCGTGTCTTAGTTTGTGGTCTTTGTTCGGTTAGTTTTTTTTTTTTCATTAACACTGTAATCTTGAAGTGTTGGCATCTGCTAGACTGTGTTGACACATTAAACAGTCACATTTAGCTGTGGTTGTTTTCAGGTCTCATTGATTCATTTTGAAAGTCTGAATGGCAATGATAGGTCATCGCAAACTCTGCGGACATAGCTTAAGAATTACAGACAGAGATAAACCAGTGCTGACTGCAAGTCATCCAGTTACAGAAGTTACTTCTGCAGCTTGGCTGGAGACCGAACCTGACATCACCAACCACTGATGAGAGCAGAACTAGAAGAGACCGCGAGACAATGAAAGCCAGCCAAGGTTCACTGTGCTCATCCATTCAGACTGGTCTTGTGGTGTTCGAGGGTAACAGCCCAGTGACTCCACTGTGACCCGTGGACGCTTTCAGTGCCATCCGTACAGCTCAGACTCTTCTCAAGTCCCAAGGCTGTAAGACACTCTGTTACTCTGTCATCCAATTTTTAATCTAAACTTAGGTCAGTTGTTACGTTATCATTTGTATGCTGTTCTGTGCACTGCTCAAAAACCACTAAATAACCATTTCGAGTCTTTGATAATTACAGTGCGTTTATACAGTGAATCTCATTTCCCTAGTTTATCTGCCTACATTCCTCTAGTGACCTATCATTTACTGTTTATATACCTTTATCAATAAATGACAGTTTATTAAAGTCATCACTGTGGTTCTGGGTGTGTAACTATCACAATTCAATTGATAGGTCCCAAACCCTAACCTGAGATTACCTTAAGTAGCTGTGGTTTTATGGCACGTGGAAAAATAGCTGGTTTAAGTGGCCTTGTCCACTAATATATCATTATTGAAACAATAAAAATGATATAACCCAAGAAGAAAAAACATGATTTTGAAATAAAATTAACAACAGCTAATTCAAATATTCTAAATTATTATCATTATTATTATTATTATTATTATGTAGTGAGTTTGAACTTGTAACAAAAATAAAAAATGTTGTGGTGTTTTGGTCTGTAGATTAAAATGTTCTTCTGGAGACCTACTGAGAGCAGTAGTCAGTTCAGTGCTTATGGCCACTGGTGTAGTGGTAGTGATTGATGTAACAGTGCTCACATCTGGAAAAAATAAATAAGTAAAAAAAAATTATAAAAAACATTGAAAAAGAAAATGTTTAGCTACAATAAATGTTAATTTTTTTCTTGTATTGTAAGACTGTAGCACTCTATCTAACTTACTCTTACTTTTACTATTTATTATTTTTGCATTTTGGAGAAAAAATGTCTTTTTTACACTTTATTTGTAAGAATTTTGGTGGGAACTCTCATCTAAAATTACAGGAAAAGACTCATTGGTCTTTGTTTTTAAAGGGGTTTTACCCAAAGTACTAATTGCAGGGGTGCCAGCAACTGTGATGTGGAAAAAAGGTTTTGTTTTTTTTTTTGTTTGTTTCATTTCCTTAGGCAAAATTTACTTTAATCAAAAATTAAAGTTATATTATATTGTAATGGAGGAAGTTCTCAGAAGAAACTGATAGCTCTACTCTAGGAAGCTTGCTACAGCCACATACACAAAATCAAAATCCCTGAAAAAGAACCCCAGTGAATAAATGATAAGAGCAAAATTAGTTAAAATT